AGAAATAGATGATAAAATGAATAATTTCCGGATCCAGAAAGATTCAAAGCAAAAGTAGCTGTGTAAGGGCACATACAGTTGTTTTGGCCTTTTTGTGGTACCTCCGGTTCAGGGCTTGCTGGAAAATTCCCTGTTTGGTTCGATGAAGTTCCCATGAAAACCATTAAAACCCTGAATGAATAGAACATCTCGTGGTATTATAATGAGGCTATTTAACATAGATACAGAAAAAGGCCCATGAAAATAGGTATAGATGATTTATGAATATTCATGATTATGTTATACCTATTAAGGATTGGTGATAGGTCCATAGCAATAGCTATGTCAAATTCGAGTTGCGATTCCTGGTGCGATTCCTGTTGCATTAACTGTTGCAGCCAGGCATTGCATGGAGGCGGTGCGGAGGGTACTTTATGATGGATAGGACTAGACCCCAAAGAAATGATGTGTTGCTTCCAACTTTGGGACAGCCAATAAGACGTGAGATTGGGTACCCAGATGTAGACATGTGATTACAGTAGGTAAAAGGGAATAGCGAATATGAGCCAGATCACTTATTTTGGTTGTGGTTATTCCCCACCTGCCAGGTGAGGGTTGTTAGATTTTATGTCAGTTGCTTCCTCCTCGTCCTCCTCCTCCTCCTCCTCCTCCTCTCCTCTCTCCTCGTCTCCTCTCCTCGTCTCCTCTCCTCGTCTCCTCTCCTCCTGCTCCTCTACTCCTGCTCCCTGCCGGACCTCAACCGCGACCATCCACGCCCAGTGTGCCCTGCCGGACCTCAACCACGACCATCACCGCCAGTGTTCCCTGCCGGACCTCAACCGCGGGTATCCCCGCCCAGTGTTCCCTGCCGGACCTCAACCACGACCATCCACGCCCAGTGTTCCCTGCCGGACCTCAACCGCGAGTATCCATGCCAAGTGTTCCCTGCCGGACCTCAACCACGACCATCCACGCCAAGTGTTCCCTGCCGGACCTCAACAGCGAGTATCCACGCCAAAAGATATGCCACATAGAGTGCCAGAAGATATGCCAGATAGAATGTTAGAAGATATGCCAGATAGAATGCCAGAAGGTATGCCAGATAGAATGCCAGATAGAATGTCAGCTAGAATGCCAGAAGAGATGCCAGATAAAGTGCCAGAATGTTTGCCAGATAGAATGCCAGCAGATTTGCCAGATAATATGCCAGAAGATATGCTAGATAGAATGCCAGATGGAATGCCAGAAGATATGCCAGAACATATGCCAGAAGATATGCCAGAAGATATGCCAGAAAATCTGCCAGAAGATATGCCAGAACATCTGCCAGAAGATATGCCAGGTAGAATGCCAGAAGATATGCCAGATAGAATGCCAGATCGAATGCCAGAAAATATGTCATATAGAATGCCAGAAGATTTGCCAGTAACAAAATGTATAAATGTCATGGTGGGGATCACACGAAGTAAAGTAATTCTTTTTTGGACAGCTATCAGCCGTTCTCATCTCAATAACTGGTTCAGCCATCGCAACTGGATCAGCAAAATTGGCCGAATCATGTTGTCTCAATATCGACCATCACATCCAAATCACGCTTTCAGTGATAGTTCTGGCGATTTCGCTTGGGGACTCTTCATGACTCTCTTTGTGAATTTGCTATTGGTGAAAGTTGGCAGTGTCAGACTTTCAGATTTGAGTTGGCAATCAACTTTTGAATAAAATGTCAGCTACATTGTTACATGATGGTGAAATTCTCCATAATTGTTCATTGATGCCCTGACATGTTGTGACTTAATAAAGCCTTTCATGAGGTTTCCTGAAATGGGGGTACCCCAATAGTTGGATGGTTTATCTTATGGAAAATCCAAAAATATAATGGATGATTTGGGGGGTACCCCCACTTTAGGTCACCTCCAATTCATCCTTAAAAGAACTAATCCAAACTTCTTCAATATACAATGATCTGGGTAAATTATAACGACCTCACTGTTCTCCCTCACTGGAAATCATAGTTAGGATCTGGGGAATCATCCCCAAATGGCCGAACTATTCAGGTTAGTGAAATATTGTAATTTACCCAGAATGATTCGATGAAAAACTTGATATAACTACACGTTTTCCCCCCATGGTATACTTCTCCCAATGGATCCAGCAGTACCTTCTCAGACAATGGCCATGGATCCATAGGGTATGGTTGTTTCCATTCGGTGTTGTGTTCCCCTGTTGGGGCCCGGCTGTCAGATGAATGCGGTTGAAACCGGTGGAGTTGTTGTGATCAATGTTTTTTTTTCCTGTTCACAACTGCGCACAGTATGAATGGACTAGACTATATTGGATTGTTTTTAATGGTGGGAGAACAACAGTCAACCTTCCCCCAGTCATCACCATTTAAATAGGTGGTATAATTAAACCATTCCCAGCCATGGGTTGTTTATGATTGTTTTACCCACATTAGATGGATTGTCTAATTTGCTGCATTAGATGGATTACCATTTAGGTGTCTATGTGTATTTATTCTTAGTTACCATCTGGTTATTTAACATAGCCATGAAAGATCCACCATTTTTAATAGGTAAACCATCTATTTCTATGGGCCATTTTCCATGGCTATGTTAAATAACATGGTATATTTAGTTATATTGAATTGTGCTAATACAGCTTCAAGGATTATACAACGACACACTCGACGCCAGTGCCATTTTTCCCCTGTCAGGGAAGACAAAAGATCTTGTTGTGAAGTTGCATGGTTGGCTTCCCAGCTGCGCTGCCAAATCGTGTTTCAATGGGGATTTACGCAGTGAACATGGATATATAATGAAATATATTATATATATATTATATAGATATATTAATACAATAATGACATTAAAATGACCCATTTATAGATAATGCCAACATCGGATTAATCACCCCCCCCCAGGTAGGTAGGTAGGTAGGTACCTTCTGGCTAGTTTTCTTGACGACCCCTTAATAACAAGCAACTCTGAACCATAAAAAATTGGATATGGCTTACGTCAATTAGATCTTAATTGAATTCCATTGGATTTGTTAAAATCTCATGGATCAGAAAGGTGGTTGATTAATCGGGGGCAAACCATGGTTATTATTAATGGGGGACATGGGCTCATGGGGGGTACCCTTTGGGAGCTATCCAAACTGATGATTTTTATAAATATTTTAATTAGAAATCGATCATTTGGGGAATAGTCATTTTTTGATTTTTTCAATGATCAACTTAAACCAAAAGTATAACAATGATGATTAAAAAAATGGTAAAAACAAATTGGAAATAAATAGAATTGGAAATAAAAATTGTTGGATAAAACATTGATTTCAGCACTGGTGGTTTTTTAATCGGGGGGATTTATTGATCCTGGGGACCACCTTTTTTTAAATTACATTTTTTTTTGGGGGCAGAGCGGGTTGATTAATACCGCGGGGATTATTAATCCTAACTTGGCATTATATAAATAGATCTAATACATTACATGATATATATATATATATTTATATGTCATTAATAGACATGTCGCTGGATAGATTACAACGATCTCACTACGACGTCACTGGAAATAATTAAACCTCCACACATGGCCTTGTTTCATTTGGTGAATTGTCACAAATTGGAGAATAAAAAGGTCAATATGAAAGTAAAGTTCTATAGTCTATAGGGGACCTTAGATTTAAGTCTATCTTAAAAATAGTAAGTATGTACTAATGGAATGGATATTTAATTTTCGGAATGGAGTTTTACCTAGTATTTACATCCATTTAATCCCTTATATTTTAAGAAAAAATAGTATCAACGATCCATTTTTAGGGGTCCCCGGTGACTTGACTGATGGTGAAATAAACAGCAAATAGCTGTGTTTTTAAAGTGGAATATACCCCAAAATATAGCTATCCTAATGGGAACATGATGATAAAGCAATGGATGGAATGGGGTACGATATTTTCAGACAAACCCAGATTTGAATAATTCAATCCAATCCGCATATCTTCGGATCTTCGAGGCCCACTTCGTACCCACCTGCAGCCTAGAAATTCAGAGATGTATGCTGCCTTACCGGATCCCGGTCAATCCAACATAGCAGTTGCTGTGGGGCCAGTTGCAAAAACACCAGCCCTTGTTGAATGGACGTACTTTCACTTCCCAGAGGGTATTTTGGTCGTTCATGGAATGATGATGCCAAAAAATACCCAGAATGCTCTATTTCAGCAACGACAACCCTAATATACCCTCGGATAACTAACATAGCTGTTCAAAATCACATTTTTTTTGTGGGTAAATCAACTATAAATGACCATGTTCAATAGCTATGTTAGATTACGCTAAATTACCAGAGGGTATATGTACATATATATATATTATTATATATATATTATTATATATATAATTACACATATTAGCAGCATTATGAGCAGCGATTATAGCTGCCATTTGATACACAAAATATTCCCCAATTTAGGGACGCCCACACTCACCAAACGGAAAACATGTGTGTGTTGTGGTATATTCCCCCAATTCCGGACTCGTCCATACTCTACCTCTGATGCGCCCTAAATTGTTCATTTCTGGACATCCGGAATATTGATAAATAAACATGTATGTATGTATATATATATAAATATGTATATATATATATTTGATTTATATATGACAATATTTAATACTTTTAAGTTGTGCATCATTGTGGAAAGACCACCATGTTTGGAGTTACACTTTATATCTCAACTTATCTCAACCAAAAACCCTCTGGGTCAAATCCCCCGTGTGTCATGAAGTAAAATCCCAGTCGTTGCCGATGAAGTAATTCTTTGGTGGTGAAATCTCTGTTGTTGCTAAATTAAATCATCAGTTTTGTTGGTTGAAACATGTTGAAACCATCAGTTTTGTGCAGGTTTTTGCATCTTTGTTGCTTCATGAAAAATTCATTGTGCAGCATTGCTGCTGCTTAAATTCCACCCATGTGGGGTTACGTGGCCCACCTTTTGGTGCGTATCCAAAAATGGCTCAAGTCATGATGTCTCTGACGCATGGCACGGCGGTAGGACTACCGGGCCGTGTGCCCGTGGATCTCCGGCCAAGCCATGCTCCCGCGGCCACGCGGGCCACGCGGCGATCTGAGGACAGGGATTGATGCAGAGTTCATTTTAGGGTGAAGTATGACATTCACAGTTCGCCATGGTTAAGCCATGGCCCTAATCGGTTTATAGATGGTTTACCGTTCTTAGAAATGGTGGATCTTTCCATGGCGATGTTAAATAACCAGATGGTGATTGTTATAATTTAATTATTATCCAAATTATCCCTATGGATCCACTGTCTGAGAAGGTACTTAGCCTAACCCCCGAGTCACGTCATCATACCCCAGTCACACCTCCTTTCAGAAGGTACGGCTGGATCCATAGGGATAATATATTATAATGTGGTTTAATTAATATGTTTTAAGATGCTTTGATATGGTTCGATGTACTAACAGGAAGATAAGGAAGAGGCGGGATGTGAGATGGGATACAATGTGTTAGACCCAGAAAGAAGAAAAGAAACCGTAGAAACCATTCACCGACCATGACTGGGGATCATTTCAACAATCCCGTTCGCTGCGAAAAAGGGATTTTGCCAAATTTCATAGATTGTCTATCCCATAGGATCCATGGTGCTGCTATATATGGTAACATGGATCCCATCAATATACCCCCAATGTTAGCATATATACCAGCACCATGGATCCTATAGGTATGGCATTGGCTTTACCTGATTAGAGGATGCGTGACTCACATGCTTCACTTTTGGCAAATTACCCACGTTTGGTTTCTTTTGGGGGTAAATGATGGTAGATACTCGGACGGCGTCGAACATTTGGGTAATGGATTGTTTCCTTTGCGGATTGATATTCTCACTGGAAAAACATATCTGGTTGCTGGTTGCGGATACATTTGTCTCGCGTGTCTCTTCTCAAGTGGCCATGATATGGACCGATTATGATCGATTTTGGACATGATTTGAAACCAAGCAATTTGTCATGATGTATCAATTATGATTTGTCTAAATTATGTGTTGAAACCTCAAATTCATAGGTTTTAGTCTTATAGATGTCTTATAGATAAAGTATGATGATTATGGTTGTTTATCTCTGCAGACTTTCAGCTCTTCATGTGGCCATGGACCAACCTTACAATCCCAGCCTGTATTGTTAATAGTTAGAAATGTGTACATATATATATATATTTATTGTTACAGGCTATCGCATTTTGCGACACTTGGTATGTAGGGAACGTACCTCGTACTGTTGTGTTCTACATCGAAGATGACTAAACATCATGAAGTACGTTGCTCTAATGTTGTTTTCCCTAAATTGGATGGTGCATGTCAAATGGATTGGCTTCCGCGGGAAAACTGAAACCGGAAATCATTGTTTTTACCCGCAAACATGCCCTCGGGTAATTTAACATAGCTATTGGAAATGGCCCATTTAGTTTAGTGATGTACCTATCAAATATAATTCTTTTCAACAGTTACCATCAAAGGAAAACACGTTTTTTTTCCGTCAAAATAGGTAAAATTACTGACATGCATAGGTAAATTTAACGTGAGGTGACCTAGGTGATACTGTGGATGGAAGAAATCCTGCACCACCTTGGATGGTCGAAACCCTAACAAAATCATGGGATAAACCATATATCAACTGGTGATTCGGATTTCGCTGGCCCATCCACAGTATGTTGACTTACCATCAAAGGTACGGCCATGTACCCTCTGGTAATTTAACATAGCTATTGAAAATGGCCATTTATAGTTGATTTTCCCATTAAAGATGGTGATTTTCCATAGCTATGTTAAATTACCAGAGGGTATGGGTTTCCTGCAGATCCAGGATGACTTGCTTGGCCCTGGGCCGTACCTTGGCAAGGGCATGGTGAAGGACTTGGGGGATCCCGGCGGCTCGGGGTTTTCTCCGTGCCAGGTTGCCTCCATTAATGGTAAATGTATACATTAAATGTACATTAAATGTACGCAAATGGAAAACATTGCTAAGGCTTCTAAGGTTTCTCAACCCTTGTGGTAAATGTACGTAAATCTATACATAGCTCGAAGGGTTGAGAAATTCACATACGTAATCCCTCCACCCCAGAAACAAGATACAATGAGGGTGTTTAATATTAGAAGGGTTATTGATATTGCGGGATGGTCATCAATCCATTCATTGCGATTTACATACAGGATGGTGCCCCCTAGTTCTAAGTTTGTTTATACACCCTAATTATAAACTATAGTTATATCTACCATTCACCATAGAATTCAGCCACTTTTTTTAGGCAACTGAACGCGAGCTCGAACGGGTGCCCCATCCTGTACTGATCAGGATTCCCAGTATGGGATGGATGACCATGCTACATTAGTCCCGTGTGTTGACCACGACATCATCTGCAGACCGAGGATTTTGTGTTTCGGGACTTCTGTACTGGAGGTTTGATCAGGGATGATTTTTTGTTTCATTTATAATTTGAATTGTCAACCACCATAGTTACGGCAGTTCCTGTTCTTGTGCGCCTGGGAACCCAGAACCCAAGTGCAAAAATGTTACTTGCAGTCTTAGTCGTAGTCTTGTTATTCTTTCAGATTCTTTCTATTTACATCTCAATCAAGGGTATCTCAGGAATCAAAACCACCGAAGCAAACGGCCAGAGCTATGCAGGCGTTGGTCACGTGCTTCCATGATGGGAGTGACCATTGCTGCGGTGCCGGTTATCGCAGCACATTTCAGGCAGGTGCTTGACCGATATGAACTATGCGCATTCAGCATTCAAGCAAAGCACTGTTCAATCTACTTGAAAAGATGTTGGATATAAATAGTGTTACCATGGGTTATCCTGATGAGTCAATATGTCTTGTTTCTGTTGTTATTTCTGCAACCTCATGTTGTCACAGGAGGTCGGTACGTTCGCGACATCGCCAGCGGCAATCCTTGGACCGGGCGACCTTGGGCCGCCGTTGGACTGGGCACTTCAGCTGGAGGTTGTGTGACCGGTTGATAGCTGTTGGATAGACCAAAATATGGGCTTCTTCTCTGGTACTTTCAGAGTTTGCGGTGAAAGATCATCGATTTTTTTTTGGCCATGGCTTCCAGTTCGCTAACTGTTAGTCATTGTCAGGGCAGTGAATCAACAAACACCAAAACAGCATAGAAACTGCCATGTTTGTTGGGAAAATGATGATGATCCATGAAATGTTGCGTTTTTTCCCTCATTGTTTTCAGCTACCAAACCATAGATCTGGATGATTTGTTTCACGACCTCCCGACCACGTCACTGGAATGAGGAAACAACATGGCCGCACTTTTCAAGTTAGGGTAGGTCAATGGCCATGACTCAGGGACCTAAATTGTAGGTACCTACCATATATAAGGCCTATAAGTTCTATGTAAGGGAATATCCCAACAAAATATGGCCTGACAAATGGTACTAACGTACCTCCATTTTAGGATCCTGAGTCATTCCCATTGAGTAGTAGGGGCCCCCAGCGTGTAACCATAGCACTTGATCTTTGAAACGTATTGAAAGGTGAAACCAATCGCATGGATGGGCAAAGATTGCACGCTGGCGTGATACTTTTAGGTTCGGTCCAGTTCTGTACTGTGGTGTGGGAATCCCATGAAATACTATCTTGATTTTTTGCATATCTTATCCAATATAATTAAATTGTAATTATGTTGTTTTTTAAGGCAGAATCAACTCCCACTTTTTCCCAGACTTGGTTTACAAAGTTAAAAGGATGTTTTTTACAGCAACTACCGGCATTTTTTGGTGAAACCACCTGCCTTGCTAACAGACGTCCAAAACATTGTCTCACAACCAAGGTTTTTGTTTGCTTCAGACGTCCAAAACATTGTCCCACAAACCGAGGTAACCAGGTATACTTGGAAGTAAAAACACCATTCATGTCCGTCATGTGTGCTTCGTGAATCAATCCACTTATTGGAGCAGTTCTTCCTTGACCCAAATCTTCGGGAAGAATCAGGATGCGCGCTGGGCCCGAGCTGAAGCTGCCTCCATCAGCGTGTAAAGGCCGCTCTGTTCATCCCCGTCGATTTTTTTATAGGTTATAGTTGGGGATTGTGATGCAGTTCCGGTCCCAAATTTGGAGGCTTACTTTGGAACATGCCCCAAGTTGATATGAGTCACAGGTCACTAGTCACAGAACTTATAAAAATGAGTTGCCCCATGTTGCCCCCATAGTTTAAGTTACCCATGGTTACAACTTATGTTATAACTGGTATAACTTGGGTCCACGGTTGCTGGTTAACTCATCTTTTGTATTAATGAAGTTCATCCAAGCGCCCAAGATCTACGGCGTAGGCTCTCGTCACAGTCAGCGGTTCAGACCATGTTAATCCGCGGTTTTTATCGGAGCAGCCTGAAAGAAATACAGATATGCTTTGGTGCTTTTTGAAGTTGCGCAACTTACAACTTGGTTTATAAGTTGCCCCAGTGGGGTTATATCTACCCCAAATGAGTTTATAATGTGGCTAAGTTTGAGCCTTCTCAGTTTTAAGTCACAGCTCAATTGTAAATAGTTAGTTCAGACTTAGGCCAGTTAGTAACAGGCCCAAAGACCACGTGGCTAAATGTTTATAAGTGGAGTTAGCTAAGTCCCCTAAGTGGTCGTGCTTTCTCGTGGGTTGTGCAAAAGTATCTTTGGATGTGATGTGTTCTGTTTTTGAAGCAGGTGCGTAGCCAAGCCTGTAAGAGTTCACATTATGAATTACGCAGGCGTGTCTGCAGGAATTCACATGTGCTTTTCTTGCATGCTTTCTCTTTGCAAATTCACCAAAAACACAGCCGCAAAAAAGAACAGCAAGGGGTTTTAGATTGTTTGAAGGACATGCAGCACGCACAGATTGAAGCATTTGAAAATCTACCAATCTACCTCAAAACCAACGCCGTTGTTTTCATGCTGCTTTTTTGCCAAAGGCATGGCGGCATGGCGTCAAAAAAAATATCTTCAGGATGTTTGGTTTCGCACTTTTTCATTTTCACACAAATCCACCAATTTTTCCATCACGTAAAGTTCGCAAAAGCAAAACAAATCATGACAAATCAGTCCAAGACTCTTCACCACGGATAGCTCCAATCAATTCTTTATAGTTCCGATTTTTTCAAAAAATGCCAGCCTTTGGCGGTTGAATCTTTGGACAAATGCACTTCGGTGGCCGTATCGGGGACGTATCGGGCCCGTGGCGGGGCCGTATCGGGGCCGTATCGGGGGCGTATCGGGGCCGTATCGGGGCCATATCGGGGCCGTATCGGGGCCGTATCGGGACCGTATCGGGGCCGTATCGGGGCCATATCGGGGCCAAAACCTTTAGAAACATGCATTGCAGGAAAAAAACATGTATCGCAAGAAAAAAATGCATTGGATCTTGACCAGCTTTTCGTAGTTGCACTGTTTTGAATATAGTTCCGCAGTTTTTCTCTTTCGAACAATAATTTCGCATGAGGTTGCGTGATTCATGGTGCTACAGCTACATGGCTGTTTGACGATTGTATGCATCCTTTCATTCTTGCCTATTCCTATCAAATCCTGCCGGCGCCAAAACCTGACATGTTCTGAGTTGGCGGATTTGTTTTGTGTCTTCTTTCTTGACTTAGTTGTGCATGTTAATTTTGCGGGTAAACGCTTGTGTTTCAGCAGCTGAATTCCCCGGATTTGTGCAATACCTGTTTTGGTTTTTGTGGTACAAGTCCTTTGCGCAGGTTAACACTTGTACTTGCGCACCTGAATTTCCTGCCTACCTAAAACAATGGTTTCTACAACGCCTCGTGGCCTTTTTGGGGTCCCTCGTGGGCATTTTCCTGGCCACGAGGATTTGCTGAGTTAAGTGGTTATAAGTCCTGATAAGTGGTTAGCTGCGAGGATTCCGCTAAGTGACTGTAAATGGTTGTAACCTTTGTTATAAACCTTGTAAACGCAAAAAGCGCCAAAGTGGGTATGGGTCAATACCTATAAGTACCATTTTTAGTGGGATGAACATCCATTTACCAGCTATTTTGATGTTCACCAGGGGTACAAGGTTTTGACACACTGCCATATCGTGATGTCAAAAAAATGGGGGAGACTTCTGAATTTCCAGAGATGATCATCTCAATCATCTCCCTATCCCTTTTCGGATTCTCAGTTCCCATCCTCCATATATCCTGAAGATGTTCAGTGAATTCCGGAGATTCAAATCGGTTTCACTTTTCACCATTCATATATAGTATAATATAGTGTACTACTATGACATTATAAGAACCTTTAAGTTTTCAATAAGAGACACCAGTCACACACCAGTCATTTCATATTTCAGGGTTGCAGCAACCAGTTCAACCAGTTTAACCAGCAACCGTCCCTACGTGTCTTCCTCCAGGCGAGATCGCTGGTGTGGAGGTTTACATCATTGGCACGGCGCATATCTCCGCCCGAAGTGCTGCGGATGTCGAGGACCGCCCAAGATCCCTATGGCCACGAAATCGTTGGGGTTTACATAACTCCAGGAAGCATGGTTTATGATACTCTTATAACTTATAACTATATAGTATTTATAGATATTTATAGCGGGTTTATAAATCAACTTATAACTTGCGGGCCCCACGTTGTGGGGATGGGGGAAGAACGCCCGAAATCTTCAGAAATACTCAATTTAGATCCAGTGATCAGTGGTGAATGGAACGAAAAAAGAAGCTAGGGCTGTCCTCCCAAAATCTCGGGAGCCAGTTGGAGCTTCGAATGGAATTTCCCATGCCCATATGCTCCATGGTGCTGGAATATTTGCCAACATTTGCCCCAAAAAACACCCAAATGTAGGTAAATATACCATACATTGAGCATATGGGATATGTATAGTTCATAGTCGTAATTCTCTATAGGTCTTCAGAAAGCTTGTGTGATCCACAGACATCCCAACAAAAAGATGGATATCGCTGAGATATGATATGTGTCCATGCTATTTTGAGGCCACAGATATGTGGCCTTGGTCCGTTTCTTCAGGAGTTGGTATCCAAGGTGCAACCGGATGCCATTGTGGTGGAGTTAAGTCGTGATCGCATCAGCAGCCTCTATCCCCTGGGTGCGACGCATTCCAGGCGTTCGGGTGGGCTTGGAATATGATTCATTCTCCCCCCGTATGGACTCCATGGACCTGGACCAACATTACAAAACCAGGCGTTTCGTTTGGGTGGTATTTGATCCTAGCTAGTCTTTTTCGGGGAAAGGTTTACATCATTTGTTGGACGGCGTGTTGTACCCTGAAAGTTCAACATGAAACTCGAAGAATGGTGAGTTTTGAAGCTGGTTTTCCTGTTAGCGGATTATTGTGCTGTGACGTTGGTAAGAAAAGTGTGTTCCAGACACTGAGCAGCAAGTGGTGTTGAACACCATTTTCAAACATGTTGACCCCGAATTGATAAACTCTGGGTTGTTGAAATTTGGGGTCACCATTTTAGTATCCACTTATCACATCTTATCACCTGTTTGGAATGATCCCTTAAGCAACAGGGTAAAAATCATGGCTTAACTTGTCCTGATTCTCGCTGATCATTCCGCTGATCGATGCTACCATCCGGAGTTCTTGGGCAGACAATCGATTACTGTAGAGGATGGTACGATTCAATGAATCATCATTTGTGGATGCAATATATATATATGTCTATATCATCTATGTCTATCCCTTATTTTAATGCCCTCAATTTCTAGATTCTGCCTGTGAGATGTGCAAGCTATCTCTGCAGGCGGGATCATCCTAGGAGTTGAGATGTCCCATTCGGATGCTTGCGAAATCCTGCACCCACTTGGTCTTGGTAACTATAAGACACTTGAAAATAAAGGGATTATCACAGGATCTTTACCATCGACCAACTGCTGATTCCATTCCGATGTCGGATGATCGACCTTTGCTTAGCTTTCCTGGCTCAGTTCAGAATCCCCACCAACCATGAAGAAAAAAACACCCTGTCGACCACTGAACCGCCCGTGATTTCCGGATTATATATACCGTTTATATACCCTCATGTTTGATGTTAAGGGGAAAAACAAGACATGTATGCTTGAATCATCATATAATCATCATAAATCCCCACTAGATACTCATCAACTAGGATTTGGTCATCAAACTCAGTCATAGCAATCACCAAAAAGATCGAAAAGTAAACTGCCTGCAAGAGATCAATTACTTTTCGAAGTATCTTTTTGGGGAGTTTACCTTTCCCCATCCCCCTACCTAACATATTCAACACCCTCATTGGTCCCAAAATATGTGGTTTCATATGGTGTTCGCAAGGCGATTTGTGACATCGATTTCAACATCGATTTCATTCCCTACTCATCCATGGTTTCTGGGTGTGTTAGATATGAACCAATGTGGGTGTATTACAACAACTTGGGTTTATGAGGAATATACCCTTTGGTTATTTAACATAGCCATGGAAAATGGCCCATAGAAATAGATGGTTTACCTATTAAAAGTGGTGAATTTCCATGGCTATGTTAGTCATAACCAGATGGTATCTATAGTTAGATGAGGTTATGAACCAACAAACATCACCAGGGGGGGGGGCCACACATTGACACACATTGTACTAATATTACAAGGTGCCCCCCCAAGTGTGTTTGTTAGTTTATAACCCTATAACTAGCTCGATATATCGACCATAAACCCAGATGTTATTGCAGTTATTACAAGCAACTTAGCTATAACTTAGCTAACATCAATCAATGCCAAAAAACATATAAATTCATATAAAATCATATAAAACCCAATTTTTGCTGATGAAATTCCCATATTTATCCTCTTTTTTTTGGGGGTGGTGGCTCTTAGGACTGGATCCCTGGAGCTTGATCTGGAGCAAACTCCCCGGGGCTTTCCGGTGGTGCTTAGGGCCAAGTCGGAAAACCCGGAGCGGAGCCGTGAGCAGTGCGGTGGAGGTAATTTGTTACATAACCTATGGTAATTATGGTGATTCATAGGGATTTAGCATGATTTAGCCAAGAAAAATTGGGATATGTATGGGAAATACCATGGAAATACCCGGCCTGGTAAACATACAAAAAGCGAACTGGAAAATGGCCATAGAAATAGTGGATTTACCCATTGCTAGCATGATGATTTCCCATAGTTCTGGAACAGTTTACCAGATGGTAGTCAGCAAAATTAGTGTCCCTGTGGATGATGAATGGATTGTTGATGGATTATGAATGGGATTTAATGAAGATTATGAATCCCTATGGATCCAGCCGTACCTGAAAGGAAGTGTGACTGGGGTATGATGACTAGGGGTGAGCCGTACTTTCGACAGTGTTTGGATCCATAGGATTTAGTAACATACTCTGTATATCTCTGCATGGCATGTCACATGTCCTGACTTCATCATTCTTTGAGGAATGACACGCCGGCAAAATTGGGAGGTCAACATGAAGAGTTCTGCGAATTCCATGCCACGCAGAAATCTGGAGGTCGACTCATCAACATGCTGGACGTAAAATCATAGGTTGATACTGGACGTATTCTCAAAATACTGGACGCAGAAATGACGGCTTGTTGCTTGATGATAGAATTGAATAGAGTTGTTATTTCATCACGATGTTGCCAATGGTTGTTTTAATTGCGGGTTTTAATCATCACAATACGGGGATATATCTGGATATAACTGACGGATGATGGTTGGTTAATGGTTGGTTGATTGCTATAGGAGCTGGCGCTATTAAATTATCCAATATTATTCAGGATTATCATCGGCATCATCCATGAATCGGGAATCCCATTCTTGCGCAACCAGTACAATGTAGTGACAGGGTTTTGAACGCTTTATTTTTTGTGGTTGGTTGTTGAGAAATCAACCCATCTCCAAAAAAATAGTATTAGTATTATTATTTGAGACATGTTTGAGATTACCAATGCTATTTGTTTTCCCAAGACATGTTTGCGGGTTTGATAAACAAAAAAGAGATGTTCTTGCCAAACATGTCCTGTCCAAGAACCACTTGAGATCAAAGCAACCCAAATAAAAGCTTCGTTTTACCATCATCTATCCATCATCTTGGAGATTGAAATGTGGAACATGAACATGAACATGTCATTATAGACACCGCAGGTCAAAGGGTATCATGGGGGATGCGGGCAATAAACCTTGTTGACGACTCTAAGATGATGTACGTGTACCCTGCGAACGTCTTTAGCGCGGCAATGGGAAGTAGTCACTATAAGTAGTCCATTTATAAACTGTGGGAATGGGAAATAGTCCATTTATACCCATATGCTCCATGTATGGTATATTTACCTACATTTGGCTCATTTATGGGGTAAATGTTGGTAAATATTCCATACATGGAGCATATGGGATACAGCAATTGCTCTTTCCATTAAACAATCGTAGGGGATTTCCCAGCTAGCCACGTTTGAGCAAACCAGCCACCGGTACTACCTGTGTTTCCCAACGGGAAATCCACCAGAAACAGGCAATCGATGAAGGGAAGATGCTTTATGTTTTTGGAACCTTGAGTACTAGTAAGTAAATACAAATTTACAAATTGAATTAATTTACATAAATGGTCCAGTGTACGGTTATATTCCAATGGACTTTTCACTATTCATTTTGAATCGACATAGTGCGTGATGGTCATGTAGTAACTAGTAGATAGTCAGTTCACCCCACCATCAGGGGACCTGGTTCGTAGAACCAACCTGTTTCCTTTCTCTCTCTCTCTCTCTCTATCCAGATACATGTTTATATTATGTATATTAATATTAAATAATATTAATATACACATAGGCATAGGTATACCCTCTGGTGATTTAACATAACCATGGACACTCAACTGTTTAATAAGTAGATCATTGAACCAAATGGGCCACAGTCACTAGCAATGTTAAATTACCAGGTGGTATTTGCCATAAAATATAAGATAATACCAGTAGTACCCGCACGAGGCGGGGCGGAAGTTGCCTTAAAGATATATATAAGACCTTTCTCATCTATAGAACTTGCATGCGCCGTGCGCCAGCCAAGCCCGTGCGTGCGTGCACTCTGCGAAACTGATGTCGTGTTTCACATGTCACACTTGAAGCCCCACGTCACACTTCACACTTGACAGTCTTCACACTTCACACCGCACCCTTCGCAGTCAACACTTCACACTTCTCAGTTCACACTGCACTCTCCCCAATCCACACTTCACACTCCACACTTCACACTTCACAGTCCACACTTCACACTTCTCACTTCTCATTGCTTTCTTCACACTCCACACTTCACACTTCACACTGCACTCTTCACGCCCCACACTTCACACTTTACTCTTCACACTCCACACTTCATCTCATCTGAGCTCTTCTCGGCGCTTCTGCACGTCAGCAAGGTTGAGCGTAACTCATGTTGATTCTTCTACAGGCCAAAAGGCATAGACCATAAAATATTTACAATATTGAAGTCATTAATGCCAAGCGTTGATGCATTGCATCAAATCGCAACGGCAAGTGTGAACATGGTGTAGTTGTTACCTGTCAAGGAGATTCACGCAGTCCAAGCTCGACAGCTGTTTTTTTCTCTGCGCTACACTTGGTCGTCTAGGCTTTTGGCAGCTTTTCGGCCCGCACTGGCACGAAAGGCTGGAGAGCTTATCGCGTTGGAAGCCTGGTTGGCCGTCATGGCACTTCACGAAGCAGTCTCTGTTTCCTTCTCGACATATGACAGCAGCTGCGCAAAAGCATCCGGTTCCACCATGGCTGCAGGACGTGTCAGTGAGCAGGCCGCACTGCCGTGCCCACAAATTGCGCGCTGCGCGCTCGCAAGTCCGGGCCGCACTGCTGCGGAACTTGCTCACGCACGAACTATATTCCTTTGGAGAATCCAATCAAGAAATGAGTTAACACATGATACAGACATCAGCATTTGCCTGTGACAGTCTTTGAAAGTCATGCCGTTGCTTCATTTCTGTGCTGTTGATGCATGAGTATCATCACATGTCTGCTTGCATAACAACTTGAGCCAGATGCCACAGCTTCAAATTGTGTCTTGTCAGCATACCTTTTTTTCACAACTTCCATGCAACCCCTTTTCCAGGACATATTCTACAAAGCATGTTTCACACAAAATATCTAGAAGCAATCCACGTATCACATGCTAGCCAGCATCCATGCAAGGCCAAAAGCATCTAAAATAAATTCACACACGCATTCGCTGTTTCCCATATGTCAGCTACATTCTTCTTGGCTATTTTCATGTCAAGTAATTCCCAGTACTGTATCTACTACAAAAGCTTGCAAAAACCACTTCCTAGTACTACTTTGTACTACACAGCTTGCACAAAACACGTTCCAGTACTGCTTTGTACTACAAAGCTTGCACAAAACACTTCCAAGTACTACTTTGTACTACAAAGCTTGCACAAAGCACTTCCCAGTACTACTTTGTATTACAAGGATTGCACAAAGCACTTCCCAGTACTACTTTGTACTACAAAGCTTGCACAAACTACTTCCCAGCACTACTTTGTACTACAAAGCTTGCACAAAACACGTTCCAGTACTACTTTGTACTACAAAGCTTCTACACACATCAAGTTCTTTCACAGAGAAGCTTTTACACACAGCAAGCTTTTCAAGCAGAGAAGCTTTTACACACAGAAGCTTTTACACACAACAAGCTTCTTCACAGAGAAGCTTTCACACACAGCAAGCGTTTACACACAGAACACTTACACACAGTGCTTTTACACATGGCAAGCGTTTACACACAGAAACTTTTGCACAGAGACGCTTTTACACACAGAGAGGCTTTTACACACAGCAAGCTTTTACACACAAAATCTTTTTCACACAGCAAGCTTTCAAACACAGCAAGCGTTTACACACAGAACACTTACACACAGTGCTTTTACACATGGCAAGCGTTTACACACACAGCAAGCTTTTTAAACAGAGAAGCTTTTACACACAACAAGCTTTTACACAGAGAAGCTTTACACAGCAAGCTTTCACACACAGCAAGCTTCTTCACAGAGAAGCTTTTACACACAGCAAGCTTTCAAACACAGCAAGCGTTTACACACAGAACACTTACACACAGTGCTTTTACACATGGCAAGCGTTTACACAAACACACACACAGCAAGCTTTTTAAACAGAGAAGCTTTTACACACAACAAGCTTTTACACAGAGAAGCTTTTACACACAGCAAGCTTTCACACACAGCAAGCGTTTACACACAGAACACTTACGCACAGTGCTTTTACACATGGCAAGCGTTTACACACACAGAAACTTTTACACAGAGACGCTTTTACACACAGAGAGGCTTTTACACACAGCAAGCTTTTACAGAAAAAGTTTTTGCACAGAGAAGCTTTCTTGTACATAATCACAACAGAAATTGCAGCTCCAAAACTGGATCTCGACGCCAAAGCGACAAAAAGACGATTTTGAAGCACTTTTTAAAAGGAATTTGAAAAGGAAAATTATTACCGCCAAAATAAAGAAAATCTGCTGACAAATCACTTTCGCAGCCTTGATGCAGCCATTCCAATACGATTTGCGATCTTCAGCTTCAAAAGACAATAGTATTACGCATGCAGCCGCTGCACCAAGCAACCTTGACGCAGCCACTACAATGCGATCTGCAGAGACTGAGTTGCAAAACACAATAGAACTACGTGCAATGGCGTCGGAAATTGCAGCTCCAAAACCGGATCTCGACCCAAAGCGACAAAAAGACGATTTTGAAGCACTTTTTAAAGGGAATTTCAAAAGGAAAATTATTAGCGCCAAAATTAAGAAAATCTGCTGACAAATCGCTATCGCAGCCTGGGTGCAGCCACTCCAATACGATTTACGATCTTCAGCTGCAAAAGACAATAGTATTACGCATGCAGCCGCGGCACCAAGCAACCTTGACGCAGCCACTACAATGCGATCTGCAGAGACTGAGTTGCAAAACACAATAGAACTACGTGCAATGGCGTCGGAAATTGCAGCTCCAAAACCGGATCTCGACGCCAAAGCGACAAAAAGACGATTTTGAAGCACTTTTTAAAAGGAATTTTAAAAGGAAAATTATTAGCGCCAAAATTGAGAAAATCTGCTGACAAATCACTTTCGCAGCCTTGATGCAGCCACTCCAATACGATTTACGATCTTCAGCTGCAAAAGACAATAGTATTACGCATGCAGCCGCTGCACCAAGCAACCTTGACGCAGCCACTACAATGCGATCTGCAGAGACTGAGTTGCAAAACACAATAGAACTACGTGCAATGGCGTCGGAAATTGCAACTCCAAAACCGGATGGATCTCGACGCCAAAGCGACAAAAAGACGATTTTGAAGCACTTTTTAAAAGGAATTTCAAAAGGAAAATTATTAGCGCCAAAATTAAGAAAATCTGCTGACAAATCGCTATCGCAGCCTGGGTGCAGCCACTCCAATACGATTTACGATCTTCAGCTTCCTCCCCAACAGAAAGCCCATGCAACATCATGCAGACATTCCAATGCGATCTGCAAGCACAGCTTCAAGAACCGCATAGAACTACGCACACAGGAACAACCACTCGTTGCAAAACACATAGGAGGAACAATTCGCGACAGAAACGACCGCAGCCGCAACCGCCGCACAGACGAGGGACCTTTCATCGCCGGCTGCAGCCACTTTACACGGAAAAACACAAGGTTTCGTGCTCCGGCTTCCTCCCCAACACAAAGCCCATGCAACATCATGCAGCCATTCCAATGCGATCTGCCACCACAGCTTCAAGAAACGCATAGAACTACGCACACAGGAACAACCCTCGTTGCAAAACACATAGGAGGAACAATTCGCGACAGAAACGACCGCAGCCGCAACCGCCGCACAGACGAGGTACCTTTCATCGCCGGCTGCAGCCACTTTACACGGAAAAACACAAGGTTTCGTGTTCCGGCTTCCTCCCCAACACAAAGCCCATGCAACATCATGCAGCCATTCCAATGCGATCTGCCACCACAGCTTCAAGAAACGCATAGAACTACGCACACAGGAACCAACCACTCGTTGCAAAACACATAGAAGGAACAATTTGCGACAGAAACGACCGCAGCCGCAACCGCCGCACAGACGAGGTACCTTTCATCGCCGGCTGCAGCCACTTTACACGGAAAAACACAAGGTTTCGTGCTCCGGCTTCCTCCCCAACACAAAGCCCGTGCAACATTCATGCAGCCATTCCAATGCGATCTGCCACTTGAATGTACAGTCGCACACCACCCTTCATCAAGGTCAATCCTTTTGTGATGTATTGTTATGTAATGCAAAGTCTCACACCACCCTTCATCAAGGTCAATCTTTTTGTTATGTATTGTTATGTAATGTAATGTCTCACACCACCCTTCATCAAGGTCAATTCTTTTCTGATGTATTGTTATGTCATGTAAAGTCTCACACCACCCTTCATCAAGGTCAATCTCTCAATCGCGCACCACCCTTCATCATTTCAAATCTCAGAATTCTATTTGCCCGTAACACGGAAGTATTGCTTCCCAACTTCCTTTGATAAGTACCAGTAGTACCCGCACGAGGCGGGGCGGAAGTTGCCTTAAAGATATATATATATATATAAGACCTTTCTCATCTATAGAACTTGCATGCGCCGTGCGCCAGCCAAGCCCGTGCGTGCGTGCACTCTGCGAAAGTGGTGTCTTGTTTCACATGTCACATTTGAAGCTCCACTTCACACTTCACAGTTGACAGTCTGCACACTCCACACTGCACTCTTCACACTGCACTCTTCGCACTTCACACTCCACACTCTTCACACTTCACACTGCACTCTTCGCACTCCACACTTCACACTTCACACTGCGCACTTCACAGTCCACACTTCACACTGCACTCTTCGCACTCGAAACATCACACTTCACAGTATTACGCATGCAGCCGCTGCGCCAAGCAACCTTGACGCAGCCATTCCAATGCGATCTGCAAAGACTGAGTTGCAAAACACACTAGAACTATGCGCAATGGTGTCGGAAATTGCAGCTCCAAAACCGGGATCTTATCTCGACGCCAAAGCAGAAAAAAGACGATTTTGAAGCACTTTGTAAAAGGATTTTTAAAAGGAAAATTACTAGCGCCAAAATTGCGAAAATCTGCTGGCAAATCACTATCGCAGCCTGGATGCAGCCACTCCAATACGATTTACAATCTTCAGCTGCAAAAGACGATAGTATTACGCATGCAGCCGCGGCACCAAGCAACCTTGACGCAGCCATTACAATGCGATCTGTGGAGACTGAGTTGCAAAGCACGATAGAACTATGTCGGAAACTGCAGCTCCAAAACCGGATCTCGACGAAAAAAAGACGATTTTGAAGCACTTTTTAAAAGGAATTTGAAAAGGAAAATTACTAGCGCCAAAATTGCGACAATCTTCTGAAATCACTGTCGCAGCCTGGGTGCAGCCACTCCAATACGATTTACAATCTTCAGCTGCAAAAGACGATAGTATTACGCATGCAGCCGCGGCACCAAGCAACCTTGACGCAGCCATTACCATGCGTTTCGCAGCATCACGTCGCAAACCTGCACGTATCTACACACATAACAACACCAGAACACCAAATGACAACAGTCATGCAGCCATTCCAATGCGATCTGCCACCGGAGATTCCAAAACACCCTATAACTACGCACACACAAGCACACCCAAAGCAGCTTGAAGCCACCGTTACAATGCGGCAAAAAAAAAAGGCAAACCGACCGCAGCCGCACCCGCCGCACAGACGAGGTACCTTTCATCGCCGGCTGCAGCCACTTTACACGGAAAAACACAAGGTTTCGTGCTCCGGCTTCCTCCCCACAACATAGCCCATGCAACATTCATGCAGCCATTCCAATGCGATCTGCAAGTACGGATTCCAAAACACCCTATAACTACGCACACACAAGCACACCCAAAGCAACTTGAAGCCACCGTTACAATGCGGCAAAAAAAAAGGCAAACCGACCGCAGCCGCACCCGCCGCACAGACGAGGTACCTTTCATCGCCGGCTGCAGCCACTTTGCACGGAAAAACACAAGGTTTCGTGCTCCGGCTTCCTCCCCAAAACGGAGCCCTTGCAACATCATGCAGCCATTCCAATGCGATCTGCAAGCACAGATTCCAAAACACCCTATAACTACGCACACACAAGCACACCCAAAGCAGCTCGAAGCCACCGTTACAATGCGGCAAAAAAAAAAACGATAAACCGACCCCAGCCGCAACCGCCGCACAGACGAGGTACCTTTCATCGCCGGGTGCAGCCCCTTTACACGGAAAAACGCAAAGATTCGTGCTCCGGCTTCCTCCCCAAAACACAGCCCTTGCAACATCATGCAGCCATTCCAATGCGATCTGCAGCATCTGCAAGCACAGATTCCAAAACACCCTATAACTACGCACACACACAAGCACACCCAAAGCAGCTTGAAGCCACCGTTACAATGCGGCAAAAAAAAAACGATAAACCGACCCCAGCCGCAACCGCCGCACAGACAAGGTACCTTTCATCGCCGGCTGCAGCCACTTTACACGGAAAAACACAAGGATTCGTGCTCCGGCTTCCTCCCCAAAACAGAGCCCTTGAAACATCATGCAGCCATTCCAATGCGATCTGCAAGCACAGATTCCAAAACACACTATAACTACGCACACACAAGCACACCCAAAGCAGCTTCAAGCCACCGTTACACTGCGGCAAAAAAAAACGATAAACCGACCCCAGCCGCAACCGCCGCACACACGAGGTACCTTTCATCGCCGGCTGCAGCCACTTTACACGGAAAAACACAAGGTTTCGTGCTCCGGCTTCCTCCCCAACTCACCACTTCCCTTCCTCACCGCTTCCCATCGTCACCACTTCCCATCGTCACCACCTCCCTTCGTCCACTTCCCTTCCTCAGTACTTCCCTTCCTCACCACTTCCTATCGTCCCCACCTCCCTTCCTCACCATTCCCCTTCATCATCACTTCCCTTCGTCACCACTTCCCATCGTCACCACTTCCCTTCGTCACCACTTCCCTTCGTCACCACTTCCCATCGTCACCACTTCCCTTCGTCACCACTTCCCTTCGTCACCACTTCCCTTCGTCACCACTTCCCCTCGTCACCACTTCCCTTCGTCACCACTTCCCTTCGTCACCACTTCCCTTCGTCACCCAATTCCACCGCTTCAATGTCCTTCATCAAGGTCAATTCCACCGCTTCTTCTTCTTGTGTTATGTATTGTTATGTTATGTAGTTATGTATTGTTATGTGCTCTACCAATTGTTATGCTATGTAGTTATGTATTGTTATGTGCTCTACCACCCTTCATCAAGGTCAATTCCACCGCTTCTTATTCTTGTGTTATGTATTGTTGTGTTATGTATTGCTATGTGATCTACCACCCTTCATCAAGGTCAATTCCACCGCTTCTTATTCTTTTGTTGTGTATTGTTATGCTATGTATTGTTCTGTGATCTACCACCCTTCATCAAGGTCAATTCCACTGCTTCTTATTCTTTTGTTATGTATTGTTATGCTATGTATTGTTAGATCACGTACCACCCTTCATCATAGTCAATTCCATCAAGTAAAAGTCATTCGTAACTCGGAAGTATTGCTTCCCAACTTCCTTTGATGAAATATATATTTTGTCGGCTAAATCCGGGCAAAAACCACCATCCAATCCCACTAAAGCATATTGAGTCCTGTTGAAACCCTAGATTTTCTCAGTTTTTCCCTGACTCAAAAGGCCCTGACATCCCCTGACACGCAGTGCCAAGTGCCAAGGTCCTCTGACTCTGGAGAGGATGGTCAACTGATCCTTCGAAACGCTGGAGATGACAAGGCCGTCGGGCGGACTGGGCGTTCAGAGATGCTGTGAATTTCACACGTGAACGCCTTGGTGTGAAGGCAAGCGGCATAAAAACCCAACCTGGCTATGACTAACAGTTCGCCATGGTATAGATGGCCCTAATCGAAATAGATGGTTTACCGTTCTTAAAAATGGTGGATCTTTCCATGGCGAAATGTTAGTCATAACCAGATGGTATAAGTTTTAGTCTGATTTTTTTCCTAGACCTTGGGATGTACTGTAGCTATTGTTGACAATCTGATTATTCACAATCTGATTCACTATACAACTAGATACCCAGAATGAGATTAGTTGTTTTGTTTATCAACAAACATCAGGTAATCAGGTTGTATCAGCCACAGAGGGGATACAGCCAATACAGGTTTCTGCCATCCTGCCAGGCGGACGACGATGCGTTTTGGGGATCATTATCATCCGGTCATCAAACATAGCACTGGAAAATCACCCTTTTTTGAATGCTTATGATTATCTCAGCTATAAACCTCCATTTTATTACGGGAATGTTCAATTGCCACGTTTGATTACGGGAGGGTATCCTCTGTTTCGTTTTTCGAGTACATTTGAGTTGAATTAAAGCCGATTGTAAAAGGGAGTCAACTGGTTTCTTGCTTGCCAGCACTAACCGTAGCCTGACCACTGCCATGCCCTGCAGTTCCTCTTTAAAAGTTATTATAAGTTATATTGGAATGTCCAGATGCTCCACGTATGGCAACTTAGGTTTATTGTAATTCTACGTTACATCATTCTACCGTAGATGCTGCAGTTTTTCATGCGGAGTTTTGCAGTTTACGCCTCGCCATTTTATTGATCTGGGCACCATCCACCAGCAGCGGAGGTTGACGTGGTGAACATGAGGAAGCCTTTGTCCAGCTTCAGCCGCTTGGCGTGCCAAAAGATGGCAGGATGTAGCGGATGTAGTGTTTGTTGAGATAAGGATTTGAGCAGCATTGGTTGCTTCGCGCAAACACATGGGGATTCTTCAACTGGGAAAGAATGTGGGTCTCCATTTGGCTTTGTCCAGGTGTGTGGGGATATAAATATACTCTTAAGTGAGACCTATAGTTGGAAACAAGATGGAAAATTCATGAATTCTACAGTTGGACGCGGATGAGTTTGCTAAAAACTTTGGGTAAACACGGACACGTTGGAAATTTCGGTGTTGCAGTCGCCCATTTTCAGACAACCAGTTAAGGGATAGAAACCATTGGGGTGACCAATCATTTGGTTGGTTCACCGAACGAACATCCCTCTTCATCATTTGGTTGATCACCAACATGCCACGTTTCTGAATTCCAAAAGGGGGTTGGTTACGGTTGCTCCTGCGATTTCATTGGTGTTGCTGGTTCAAATAGGATATGTGTGTCAAATCGGTTGAGGAGTTCTTTATGCTTCCCTGACATCAACACAAGAGTCATGTGTTTCATGATCTTTTTCACATTTCATGCAGTTTTTCTCATATGGCTATACATTCAGAACGGTTCAAACTTGGAGACCCGACAATGTATAATTTGACGTTTTGTGGTATGGCCTCTCAAACATATGTTTCTTAGCCTTCCCTTTCTTGGATGATTGAAAGCACGAAAATTGAAAGTCAAACCTGCTGAAAGTGTCTGGAAATAAGATCCTCAATAAGACTTGATGGTTCAAATGATTTTCTGATGTTGCCTATTTAAATGGCTGTTTTGGATATTTGGGGTATACCCAATTTTGAGACAGACTCATATGCAGTTTCCACTTGAAATTGCAATCGCCATGCTTCGAACCCCTTGGTCCGGAAAAATATGGACGTCATGACCCAGCGTAGCGAGGTGATGGGAAATGGCTTGAAACTGCTTTTCAGAAGCATCGCAACTTGCCACCATCCTTTAGCTATGGGGTATGGCTGGCTGAAAGCCGCTTAAATATATGTTTTTTCTTGGTCTATGGTTCATGGATGGTTCTCATTGGTTCCCGTTGGGATCGAAAAAAAATTGTGGTTGGATGGGATGTTCAAATCGTGGCTTGGTGGCTTGGTGGGGATCCCAGCGTTTTCGTCGAAGTCTAACAATCCAACAGTGGGGTTGAGAATACCAAGGTACCATTCCTTTTGGATCCAGCCGTACTGTAGCTTCTGAAAGGAAGTGTGTGGGGTATGATGACGTTTCGGGGGTCAGCCGTACCTTCTCAGACAGCGGCCATGGATCCATAGGGATTGTTATTTCAAGGGCCCCAGTTGATTTCAGAATGAGTTTGCACTCATAGCATCGCCAACTCTCTCCATATGGGAGCCCAAAATGAATGGATTCAAAAACGACACCAATGAACTGCCTGAATCAGCTGGGTTTTTGCATGTTTTTGCTATATAGGGAAAGGGATATCTTTTGCCCGTTCCTGATATGTCCTCACCGATGTTCAACTTCGAAAACAGATTATTAAATGTGTGTATATATATAATAATATATATATATCCCTATGGATCCAAGTACCTTCCTAGGAAGTGTTTGGGGTATGATTTAGGGGGTTAAGTACCTTCTGAGACAGTGTTTGGATCCATAGGGTATAATACATTATATGATATGAATATGTAATTAAAGGAATATACTATAATATCTTAGATGTTTTTTCATCTTATGAATAGTTGTCAATTATATCATATCCTTCAACAGATCAAACCTATCTTGAACTCGTTTCCTTGCATGCCTTGGAAGACATATCATTCGAAACCCACCGTTGTACAGTACCTGGCACCGCAAACAGGGTTGCTCTAAGAAAACATGATACTGGCTGGTGGTTTGGAACATTTTTTCTTTGTCCATATATTGGAAATGCCATCATCCCAACTGACTTTCACTCCATCATTTTTCAGAGGGGTAGGTCAACTCAACCACCAACCAGTTTTTTTTCATATAACTTGACCTTTTGAGAGCCAGTTTTTCTCGCGATGGATGGAAACCCATCCCTTCCCCTCCGGTTTCACCAGGTTATCGCAGCAAGACGCTGAAGATTTGGCCGGCCATTGAGCTGATGCTTTCCATGGCGAATCAACTCTTTCCCTTGGCCCAGCGGGCCTTCTACTCGTCCCTTGGCCGCCTTGGCCCAGGCAGTAGCCACCACTACCCACCACCCCGGGATGACGGCCCCCATGAGCCGTGTTTCCAACGTGTTCTGCTGGAGGAAAAGCCGAAAAAGTTTGGTTGGTCAAAAGATTCATGTTCTGCTGAGACCCCAGATTTTGCTTAAATCCCATCTTTTTTTTGGTTGGTTAAGTCCTCACGCCTCACGGTTCACCAGCTTGAACATATCTAAATCATTGGGTCTCCTAGTTAAATCCCCAAGGGTTGTTCCACGTTTTAAGCACCGAAAAAACCAAGTTCTAGGGACTTAACTCCGACCGGATAAAAGCTAAGGGAAACACATGAAACCAGAAAAAAACTAAATCTTAAAGTGATGGTGTTTCACCGATGAGATCTGTTCCTAGATCTTAAACCAAGTTCTTGGCTCAAATCCCAATGAAATCCTATCTGGTTGTTGGTTTGGAACATGAATTTTATATTTTCCCCAAGAGTTGCGATGATGATCCAATCTGACGAACTCATATTTTTCAGGGGGGGTGAAACTCAACCACCAACCAGTCATCATAAATCATCCTTTTTTCATTGGTTGATATCTCAGAAATCACCTAAAACCCCACCTGGTTGGTGGTTTCAAACATGGCTGGATTATTTTCCATAATATATGGGGTAGTCCTTCCCATTGACTATATAATATTTTTCAAGATGGTTAAAACCACCAACCAGCCACGGTCCATTTCATATGTCATCCGAAACCCATTGACGAACTCCATCATTGTTCAAGATGGGTAGGTCACCACCAACCAGCTATAGTAAGTAACTATAGACCATACTATATCTACTATAAGGCCTAGTGAAATTGGAGTTATGTTGAACAAGTTAGCTACGTAGCTAGGGGGCACCACCTTGTATGATATGTATGATATATATATATATATTTAATTATATGCATTGATATACAAATACCATCTGGTTATTTAACATAGCCATGGTATAGCTGGCCCATATATAGATGGTTTTTTGCAGCGCTCCAGAAATCACCCCAGGTCTGTCTCCACCGTTTCCCACAGTGGCGGCGAGTTCGCGGCCGCCGCGCGGCTGGCGCGTGCGTCTGGATGCCGCTGGGCCGACCGCGGTGACTGCCGTTGTAAGGCGGCCACCAGGGGAAAATCTTGGATTTATAGTGGGAGATTGGGACTGGTTGGTGGTTTCAAAGATGTTTATCTTCCATCTAACAGATGGGATTGAGAATACCAAGGTACCATTCCTTTTGGATCCGGCCGTAGCTTCAGGAAGTGTGACTGGGGTATGATGACTTGACTCGGGTGTTAGCCGTAGCTTCTCAGACAGTGGCCATGGATCCATAGGGTGGGATATTACCCTCAATCAAACATGGCAACGGAAAATCCCTCGAGTAGAGATGATGCGCTCCCAGCAACCTCCATTCATAGAGGATTTCCACGGATTTCCCAGTGCTACTTCCAGAGGGTACTGGGATATAATGGGAGATCTAAGCCAACTTAATATGACAAAACTGGGTGTGTCGTGTCTGAAACTGGGGTATACCCCAAAATAGTCCTTTTGAATAAGACCATATGATGCAAAGGATGATAAACCACTTGGATTTTGAGGTACCTTATTTTCAGACACAGCCATATAGCGAACTGGTTCCAAACTGGCTTACCTTCCGGTACTCAAACATCAAACGAGGTTTATAAATGGGAGATTTTCCAGCAATCAGCAAGCCATGTTTGAGCAAACCCAAGGGTAGATCACCTTTTTTGGCAGGGCTTCTGGTGGGTTATAACATCTTAAAACCCAGGTACAAGCCAGCTCCACGTCATATCTAAGGCGCCTACTTCGTGCATTTAGGCATCCCAAGTGATTTATTCCTTTTTTTTATAACCGGGGTACTGTAACTGAGGATAGTTCACGATATGTCCATATATTCGCGTATTGTATATTAATTACCCCCTTTCGAGGTAGCGGGTGGCTGAGCGTGGCTAAACGTCCAGGTTTTGGGGTAGAAGTACCATGAGAATTTTCCAACAATCGTACTGTAAGACTTAGCATGTTCTACTAGGTGTATAAGCCTAATTCTGGGAAGGTTCAATGAATCAAGCTTGGGATGTATAAACCAACAGTAGATGTGGTTTCATCTGGCAAGACTTGTTTGGACCAATTCAATGAGCGCATCAGCGGGTAAACTTACAGGTTCGCAAGGACTTGAGTAGGGGGTCATGCGCAGTCATGGGATGTTATCGGTAATTAGCTGTTTTGAACAGGTCATATCTAGTTTTTTTTTTTGTGCAGGGCTGATGATGTGCAAGTCCACACCGTGGGTATATTGGATCAAGACCAACCATGGATGGCTGCAGAAGAGTTGCCAAGGTTTGCGTATTTTTGTGTAACGGTTGACCGGTTGAATGAAGCCCAACACAGATTCGCCAATCGTCTATTGTAAGATCTACTAGTAGTCTCTGATGTGTTTTTCTCCCATTATTTGGACAAGAATATTTTTTGTTGTTCCTTTTTTGTAGTCAAAAGTAGTAAAACATAGTAAAACACACCATATGTCACATAGTCACAAACTGTCACATACCGTACCTATATATGTGTTTTTCCATTGAATCTCCCTATGAAATCCACAATGTGTTGACTTTTTTTAATCCATATATTTTGGCCATGGATTCGTCGTCACCGTCGATTCGTCTGAGGTCCGATCATTTTGGGCGATGTGGAAAATGAGGAAAATGCAGCGCAGCGGGATGATCTGGATGATCTCCTAGATGTTTTGCCGCTTTTGGGTGTCATCAAACACGCTTTGGACTTGTTATTGAATAGGCTTTTAATACGGAAAATCATAGGATCATCATGGATGATGTTTTTTTTTTAAAGATTTTTTTTCCGATGGTTTTATCTGATATAACATGGGAACAAAAAAATATGGGATGTAAATAGATCATGGCACTTCGCCGTCATCCAACCTGGCCGGCTCCAAATGGTCAGCCCCGGAAGCCAATCGTGACATGCCAGAATATAATCATTTCCTGGCCTCCATTCCAGCAATTTGTAATTGCCTATTTTCAATCAACAACTTTCTCTTAGTGAATAGTGATGTAGCCTGTTGAGTGATAGAAAGGGAATTTACCCTGGTTGGTGGTTTCAAACATTTGGAGGATTGTCCATTTCATATATGGGATGTCATCCGAAACCCATTGACGAACTCCATCATGTTTCAAGATGGTTAAAACATGTTAAAACCACCAAGCAGTACCGCTCTTTTAGGAATTGACCGCTATGTTTTGCTCAACAAATTCCCCCTGAAATCATGGGATGGTTGATACGGGATCTTTAACTTTGACCCCTGGGTGCCACAGGTGAAGTAAAGCAACTTACCGTCAAATACCATAACTGGTTGGTGGTTTCAAACATGGCTGGATTATTTTCCATTTCATATATGGGATAAGAATCCCAACATATCCCAACTGACTTTCATATTTTTCAGAGGGGTAGGTCAAGCACCAACCAGATAAAGTCCTGATAAATCCCAATGTCAATACTTCGGTCTCCATGTTTCATGGGTCATCAGAACCAACAAACGCATCAAACATATTCATGTTTAAGCCACTAATAAACTCCTATAAACCACTATATTCATGTTTAAGCCACAATTATAGAAGTCCTTCAACAAATCATAAACCACTTAAAAATTCCCTAAGAAATCCCCAACGCTTTCATGGTTAAGCCACCAATCCAGACGCCCCCGGCGCAGGACCTCTTCGACCCCATGGGTGCTTTGGAGGTGACCCGTGAGGCGCAGCGCGCAGCGAAGGATCTTTGAGGTCCCAATTTTGGGTGATCTGCCAGGTTTATATAACGTTTATGTAGTAGTGCATAGTGTTTATATAGTGTTCATATAGTGTGTGTATATATACATGTGTTTATAGAGTGAGATATAAAATATAGTGTTTATATAGTAAACTATACGTCTTATGACTATAACAGTTCATAAAATATAGTGTTTATATAGTAAACTATACGTCTTATGACTATAACAATTCTTCTATGACTATGATATTATCATAAAATCACTATAAAATCACTATAATAAACTGTATATGATAGACTAATATATGTTCTTGATCTCCAAGAATCACCATAATCAACATAATCAACATAATCAGCATAAAATCTAATCTATAATCACCAGAACAACTATATATTCTATAAAATCTCTATAACCATATAGTCTAATCAAAAAGGTGCCCGAGCTCTGCCCCAGGATCCATTGCTAGTGCGCCTGGGTGGACCCTTCATACGGCCCAGCAAAGGCGGTGTAGATTTGATTGAGGCGCCATGGACCACAACCGGATCTGGAGGTTTCCTAAGTCATGGGGGTACCCCCTTGCATCATCCAGTCGTCATGAATGACCATGACGACTCGTATTGAAACCTATGGTGACGACTGGGGATCCCACATTTTAAGAACCCCCCATCTAAGCAACTGCAGATGGGAAAAAATGCAGATTGACATGGATTTGCATGGATTCATATGTGCAATGGTCAAAAGACGCTATGAAAGGCTTCAATTACGATCCGCCATCACTACTCAAAACATTTAATTTACTTTGTGTAGCGATAGGGGGCCTTGTGTAGCGATACCTCTTTTTAGACTTTGTTTATGATTGAACCTTCCTGTTGGGCGCATGACTTTCCAATCTTTTGATGTCAGAGTGCGACACTGGAGCAGTCGCAGTGGGCTGGTCTTCCTGGGTAGTTGCAAGATGGCCTGTCGTCAAGTATATATGAGATAGTTACATTAAACAATGTTGATATTTTGGGGTATGTTGATCGATAAGGTATGCAAGAAACTAATTCATAACGCATCATGAGCTTGATGATGGTGATGATGCTGATGATGATGGTGATGGTGATGATGTTGATTCAGATAGTGACCGTGCCCGAAGCGATACCCCTCGATACCCAGAGCGATACCTGAAATCCATGAAATTAGGGAGTACCCCACATGGTCACTTGAAACTTTACAACTTGTGCTATAGGTGGAAAAATATGGGAAGTATGAACAAGGGTACCCTCAAGTTCTTAATGGGTTAGTTCTTAAAGGGTTCATTTGGTCAGGGTTTTGCCGATTCATTTTGGCGTGGTATTAGGTTGCAAAGGAGGCGGGGTGAAGAAAAAAAGGCGCCGGAAACAAGGCAGCAGGCAGGCAAGACAAGCCAAGACAAGCCAAGACAAGCCAACACAAGCCAAGGGCAGCCTCCGAGGTCAGATGACCTGCAGTGAGTCCGGCTGGTGTCTAGCTGAAGCTGTCGACGTCAGCCTTGGTGATCACGTAAAAGTTTGAATTTCCCTGGAGATACCAGCGCAAAAGGAATAAGAATCCGATTCCTCATCTGGATCCTCCTCTTCTAGCAGCAATTCTGCCTAGTTAGTGAAAAGGGTGCTGGGACTGTGTGTAGCGATAGGGGGCCTTGTGAAGCGATGCCATGACCTCACCACATGAATTGAGTTTTGACCGTCGCACATATAAGGTTTCAGACGGAATCCGGAGATACTAACGGTTTTTTCATTGATCGATATGATTTTCCAGAGATTTCAATGATTAGTTTCTTTCTTTATGGGAATATCTTTTATATCGGTTTATGTATGTATATATAAATAAATATATATATATTAGTGACCCCCCGGAGAAAAAGATTCAATCATCCAAAATGGTGATTTTTTTGACACAAAGTGCTAATATCGACAAGGATTTGAATTTTATGTTGATGAATTTATGGAAGAACATGGGGATATCCCATATGCTCAATGTATGGTATATTTACCTACATTTGGGTGTTTTTTGGGGCAAATGTTTGCAAATATTCCATACATGGAGCATATGCGTATCATCAATATTCTAGATGTTTTTTTTCTATGGTTCATCGGGACGGGCCACCCGAATCGGACTGTTGGTTGATGCGGACATCCAGCAAAACAAGAGATGGGTATGGCGGCATGGGTATGATCTACAGGGGATAGCAGGTTGAACTCTGATCATGCAACATGATATTGGACGTTTCTTCATAATAAAGATGTATACCCCTCTGGTAAACTAACATAGCTATGGAAAATCACCATTTGGAATAGGTACAGTAAATCAACTGTTAATGACTTAATGAACCATTTTCAATAGCAAACTGTTAATTTACCGGATGATATATAGATTATATAAAGATGATGTAGCTTTTGAACATGGGTTGAACATGGGCAAGTTCCACAGCCATGTCACTTTTTCATACTTTTTCCGGTGTTTGGAGGAACTGGCCACTAGGGAACAACTTAATGACCCTGGTTTGTGAGGTTTGTAAGTACACTATGGACCATTACTAGGCATTATCGTCCCATGAATCATCAGAAAAAATATGATACTGTAACTAATCAGTTAACTGTATGATAACTTATGTGTTTAACATTATACCATTATAACTCTATTACTGTGATGACAAACCAATACAAACTACAGTGTGGTGGCAGTCGGTTCAGCTAGGTTGCTTGATAACCTCCAGTAAATATATAGATATCTCATGATATCTCATCCATAAACCCAAATGTTCACTAATGTTTATATGCGTCAACTTATCTATCTACAAGGTGGTGTCCCAGCTCGTGAACGCTAAGTTGGTGAACATAACTCCAATTTCACTTGGGTTTATGGTAGATATACCATGATATAATATACCTATACTTTTCCATGGGGGTTATAAACCAATCAACATCACTGGGGGGTCTACCACCTTGATAGGGGACTCCACCTTGGTAAACTACTGTGGATGCTTGCGAAATCCGAGAAACCACCGAAAGGATGTTTGAAACCCTATAAATAATGGGATGTTTACCACCTATCAACTGGTGCAGGATTTCGCAACCATCCACAGTATGAAAAGAAATCACTGACTTTCTCCAATGAGGATCCTCTGACTATGGTCCGCTCCAGGCCCTGAAACACGTCTTTGCTGACATCGCCAAGCCCGGTGCGCTCGTTTTCGTACACCCAACTGGGGTTGAAAATGGGATTGTGACCTATTGGGATTTACTGGTGTTTTTGTAGCATTTGATTGGTTTCCACCATGATTAACTGATTAACCCAATGCTTGGTTGAACACCCAAATCGGTTTCTCCAAGATATTACGGGATTATGCGGGATATCAATGAATCTTATGGATTCTTATGGCTATTTTCTAGGATTCACCTAACATCATTTGTTTACTATATCCCATTCAATCACCATGTTGGTTGGTTAAAATCCCATGGAATCCACTTAAATCACAAGCTTTCTTGGTGAAATCCCTAGAAAACTCACAAATTTTGGTCTTGGTTCAATCACGATGAAATCCCTGTACTTGGCTCCTTGGCTCAACATGAAATCCACCAAAGACTTGCGATCGGATGTTTTTTTTTGTTTTTCTTTACTGAGCCCCAGAAACCAAGTTGGCTTGTTACAAAAGGCTATGGAAAATTACAACTAAAAAAATGGTAAACCAACTATTTCTATGGGCCATGTTCAATAGCAAACTGTTAGTTTACCAGAGGATAAATCTTGGATCCAAAGGGCATGGTACCCAGGCGCTCCAAAGCCCAGGTACTGGAGCCAGGCTTGGAGCCTTTTACCTGGTCTTGTTGGTCTATGGCTTCATTCTGGATGAACGGGCGCCCCTTGGGCAGCGACAAACAAATGGGGGAAGGTCGGGAAAAAATAGAGATTTTTCAGGGGGGTTCAGAGTTTAAGCAAGAAAAATGGCGATTTCAATGGGATTTAACCAAACAAAATAGCGATTGAAGGGGATTTCGTGGGAGTTTAACCAACCAAAATGGTGATTTAATTGGATAAGTTACTGAGGATATACAGTGTTTGGAGTTATAAAGTTAGATCGCAATTGATCTAGCACCTCGTTCAGAGGAACTTCGATATATCTAGCACCAGCTAACATAGACCCAACAGTTATTGGAGTTATAAATCAATAAAATCATGTAAACCATTGTAAACCCATTTATATGAAGCAATAAAATCATGTAAAAACATAGTAATTTGGAGCTATAGATCAAACAAATCAATAAAATCATGAAAACCCACATAAACCCAACAGTTATATAAACCCAACGGTAACCCGAGATATCTCCCCTTTTCGGTGCAACAAATTGGTCGCCAACTGGTTTCCCCGAATGGGATCCGATCGTGTCTCAGGAACGCCGTGGACCTGAGCTCAGCTTCCTGGCACAAGGATTTACACTGCATATGTACACAATATATCATCACAATACTTAGAAATTGTATAATATATATACAAATACATTGTGATATTTGTTATGACATATTATATACAATTGTATATATAATTGTATATATGATATTTATAATATTATATATATACTGCACTTAATATCATATACATTAGGATTCATAATTCTGATATGATATTGTATTATATATGTACTACACTACAATATATATATATATATATTATGAGATATTGTATGATATGCTATTGTATTATATTCTTATATCTCATTGACTACATGTATATATGTATATACATAGTCACATACACATATATATATATATTTACATATATATACATGTGTAAATAATATGCTGTATATAATCTATATATATATACATATGTATGTATGTAATGTATGTATGTAATGTATGTATGTATGTATGTAATGTAATGTAATGTAATGTAATGTAATGTAATGTAATGTAATGTAATGTAATGTTATGTATGTATGTATGTATGTATGTATGTATGTAATATAATGTAATGTAATGTAATGTAATGTAATGTAATGTAGTGTAATGTAGTGTAATGTATGTATGTATATATGGTTAGATGGGTTGATTAAACCCACAAAGGTAGTTCCTTCCCCTAGTTTTTCAATTCCTCACCAGAAACCATGCTTAGATGATAAGCATATAGTTCTCATACCGATCAGCGGTCGATTTTTGTTGTTTCTGAAAGGATTCTGGTTTAACAAAAAAAAACTGGGATACATATTAATAGTAGTCTTGGAATACGATGTGAAGTAGTCCTGGGATAGTTTGTGCTACCGGCGCTGCTAACGGACCTGCAGGATTTGCTGTTTTCTTGCTGTCGCATTGCCCGTCAGTTAGAAGTTGTGCACGTCAGTTAGAAGTTGTGCCTGTCAGTTAGAAGGTGTGCCCGTCAGTTAGAAGTTGTGCGCGTCAGTTAGAAGTTGTGCACGTCAGTTAGAAGTTGTGCACGTCAGTTAGAAGTTTTGCATGAAGGATAGTGTGATTTTCTTGGGGAACCGGGTGGGGGGGCAAGGCGTACGCTGTAACATGTCTCTTGTCACTTGCCACACGCTCTCGATGCTACGCTGTAACATGTCTCTTGTCACTTGCCACACGCTCTTGATGCTACGCTGAACCCATGAAGAGAGAAAAAGAAGAGGGCGAAATGCCGTCTTTCATTCCGTTTTCCAAATCCACATTTGCACATTATTTGGCCCAATAGAATTCAATGATCATTGAATAAATTCCTAGCGTAACGTGGGACGAAAACACCATTTCAAATTCAAGGCAAAGCAACAGAATCGTCACGGCGCCACAGTTTTAAAACAAGTCAATGAAGAATGGTTGAAATAAAAATCATTAAAAACACCGGGTCCGCTATCAGCGCCGGTACCTAGTTTGTCCATTAGTAATGATTGTAGGTTCATTTATCCTTATACCTGGGATACTTTACAAGTTTATGCAATTGAATCCATTTCACCGCTATCTTTTTTGGACGCTTTAAACCACCAACCAGACATGCTTGATTCCAAATGGGCTTATTCTCACTACCAGGTCTCAAGGGGATTTGTCATAGTGATCTCAAATGTGACCCCAGCGACAATAACCGCCGCTTCAAGCTTCTACGAGAATCCCAGGTCGTGTGTTCCTCAAGATATTCGCCCTATATCAATAAAGCCCTAAACAACAATCATTGCGGATCGGGAAAAACGATTTTGGTGGCTGGGTTGGCTAAGTCCCCATGAACTTTTCGCTCAAGTCATGGATCTGAGATCGTGCCGTTGATGCTTGCAATGAGCACGACCAATACGTCTCCTGGCGCGAGGGGCAAAGGACTGTTGTGAAAATGGATGGTTTAGTTTCATTTGTGCCATGATCAAAATGGGGATTTAATGGGATATTAATTGGATATCTGGTTGGTGGTTGCAAACATTTTTATTTTCCATGATATATGGGATAATCCTTCCCATTGACTAATATTTTTCAAGATGGTTAAAACCACCAACCAGATAGAAATAGAATCAACATGTGGTACCCCATTTTCGCAGAACCCCGGTCCAAACATGTGCTTAATGGGAAATGTTCATCCCACAATGGCAAACCAAACATCAGAGCTAACATGTTTTTTTGTTAATGGATCGACCATACCTCGATATGGGTATACCGTACACAGTCCAACTCCAGAGCATGGCATCCAGCTTCGTTGGCTGGATGCGCAAATCTGTAGCAGTGATGATGGCACTGTTTCTAGTTGATTTACCCATTAAAAATTGTGTTTTTTCCATGGGGAAAGCTAGGAAAATGGGATGGTTTATGCAATATAGATGTCTGGTTGGTGGTTTGGAACATGAATTCTATGTTTCCCATATATTGGGAATAATCATCCCAACTGAATAATATGTTCAGAGGGGTAGGTCAACCACCAACCCGATGTAGTAAAATATATCATATAATACTAAGACTAAGACTAAGACTGAGAATTGATTTTACAGGTCCCATTTTTTTTTACGGTGTCTTTGGGGCACCACCATGCACCACCTCTTATTAAAAACGTTGTAATTATTCATGGGTTGCTATTACAAAAAGATCGGACGGGTGTACCAATAAGTGAAAGGGAATGAAGACCCCTATGACTGGTGTGGGGACTGCACATAGGGTGACCATTTGTACTCGCCATTCTGGGTGATATTGCTGGTGCGCGCACATTTTTATAAATGCAAACAGGGGATGTTTGAAACATTTGCTGGTGTCCTTTCTTATCGCTATTGAAGATTGATTTCAATGCAACGTAGCCATGAGATGCCATGAGAACAATCCTGATATGATCGAAGTCACTTCCTGGATGAAGCTATAGACCTTTCAGTAGCAGCCTCTGGCCTCATCCGTGGGACTTCGGACCTGAATCTGATGCAAAGCCTATGAAACTCTTAATTGAAAACTTCTAAGAACTACCCTCCAGCAATTGGCAATAGAAAATCCATGATTTATAGATACTTTTCCCATTAAACCTCCATTTATGGTGAATTTACAGGGATTTCCCATTGCCGCTTTTTATGCTCCCGGAGGGTAGACACCTGTCTATAGCTATCCCCTTGGTTTTCTGATGATCCCACTGCGAAGTCGGATTCCGGGCCACGGCTGCGCCAAGGATGGTGGCAGCAGCAATCATTTTCCTCCTCACTGCCACGCGTGATGAACAGCTTTTTCGCGCTGTAGAAGAAGCAGCCCATTCAGTCCTGGACAAGAAAGGCACGGCACAGCTTTTTGCTGATGCCACAACAGATTGGTTGCCTCGGTGAATTATTTTTAGATGATATATATATATATATAATTGTGTATGTATATATATATATTTATATTTATATTACACATATATTATAGAGAGAACTACTGTAGTTCACAGGAGTTTATGATCCAACATATAACTTGGGATGCCCACCTTGTGCAGACTTGGAGCGTTGTCAAGTCACATGGTCTGAATGGTGATCCCAATTGACAAAACCATTTGCAGATGGGTTGAAACGACCATGGAATTCCGTGAGATTGCCATGTAATTACCACCCATTCGACTAAAATAAACATATCGATTATCCATGATTGTCCGGTACGATCCACGTATGATATCGTTACGTACATTGAGATTAACCCCCGAAATGAGCCATGTATGTTGGCAAAGGTACCATGTGTTTACAGTATATATATACCCCCTGGTTATTTAACATAGCCATGGAAAATGGTCCATTTATAGATGATTTTCCTATTGACACCTGCATAAGGGATTTTCCATGGCTATGTTAAATAACCAGATGGTGTACATAATTATACATACACATGGTCAAGACAAGTGGATGGCATGATAGGACCCTGCGCAACATCCCTTGTCCAATAAAAAATCCTCTTGCGCAGTGTCCATGTTGTTTTGTTTTCCCATGCCTTTTTTACATCCGTTTTACTCACAGGTAAAGGTTGATCAGCTTGGCTCAAGGGAAAAAAAAAACAAACAAACCATGATTTTTACCAGCAAGCATGAGTTTTCCTGTATTCTTGTCCCTTCATCCAATTCTGCAAAACTGGAACAAGTTTTTATCCTCAAGAATACCAAGGACCAAGATAGTCAATCAGAGAAAACCGTCCAAAGTCAATCCGAGTCAATCCCAACAAATGAGTCCCAGCTGCTTGATAGCTGGGAACCATATCAAAGCCCACTTCAAAGTATATCTATAACTTCCTAAGGCCACAATTTCTGCCCAGCTGGAATTTCTGCCCTGGCAGATTTTGTTTTGCCCGAAGTCTTTTTCCCGCATGAAGGGGTTCTGGTCTGGCTTGCTTGATATCCTATGTTGTGATGTGATTACCATGCAGTCAACAGTTTCACAAGTCCTGGTTTGAAGCAGCATGAATGTTCGAATTGAAGGTTTTCGAGCACCGCAAAAACTCAACTTGTCTTTTGTGGAAATCAGTGGTATGGGGATTCCAGCCCGATTCGCACCAATTCCCGCCCGTTTCGCGCCCTGATTTTTTTCAACAATATTTCATGATCTGCCCAAGTTACGTTTTTTGGCAATGCACACTGGATCATGGTGCAGGTTGTATCAGCCACACTTCACAACCTGTTGACTCCCTCACATTGCAACGCGTGCCCAAATTGCCTGATTTCAAGATTCCGGCCTCCGCCAGGGAAGGGTAAGGTGGTCCTGGTCTGCGGCGTTGCACATGTGCTACCCGGCATTTGGCCCCCCAAGTGAGGCCCTTTTTCATAAATTGGGAACGATGATTAACCCAATGAATTTGGAGGTAATTCGCTTATTTTCAGACAAATCATGACATGTCCATTTGTTCATGTTTTTTCGCGATTTGAAGCTGCGTTACCTTTTTTTTGAGTCGTGTTATGAAGAGTGTAGATAAATATGATAAATATGGAACCCAATTGAATTCAAATGAGTTCAATTGCCTCTCTAAGACTCTACATGAGAGGAATCACCAAAATATTTTGCTGCTTATGATCTCAGCTGGGATTGTTTTTTTGGTCTTGGTGCGTTCGCGGAAATCGTTAACCGAGGAATGGTATCGCCCGCTACATCGACAAAGCACGGTAGATCAAGCTGCTGGCGAGATTGCTGAGAAAAGTGTCCATGGCCATAGAACTTTCTGGGCCAGCCAAATGTTGGTGAAACATTGCTTGGCTCGGGTCAAAAACGATGAGTTGCATTGATTTGCCCGGTTGACCTTTTCTGGTTGGTGGCTTCAAATATTTTTTATTTTTCCATCTATTGGGAGGTTCATCATCCCAACTGACTTTAACTCCATCATTTTTTCAGAGAGGTAGGTCAACCACCAACCAGTTTTTGTTTAATGCATTCAAGGCTAGTGATGGCTAGTGGCACTGGACAACTACAACTACCGCTTCCCGCATGTTTGATCTCTACCCTGACTTTCTGTGCTGCAAAATTGCAGCACTGAAGTCGAGGCGAAAACATCCCTGAGATTTTCCGAAGGGCCAGAAATCCAGCGGCTCATACAAAAAATGGCGCCACAAAGGATAGCTAAGTTGGTGAACATAACTCCGATAAGTATGGTTTATGATACTTAAAACTGATTTTTATAAACCATCTTATAACTAGGGGGGTACCACCTCGTAAAACCCCCCAGTGGGCCAGGTTCCATGTGGAATTTTGGGGATTTAATCCAGAAAATTCTTTAGAGAAACGTGGCAAGCGCATGAACAGCTGCGCTTAGCTGCCACCATATCCCAACAATTCGGCTTCACCATCTTCCTTCGCAATGGCTCAAGCTGGTGTGGATCAAAATGAAGCTGCGATCTTGAAATGATTTGACAATATTTTTTGGGTCAGCCCAAAATCCCAATTTTTAGATAGATATGTTACCCATAGGTATCAATAGGTAACCATATATAGCATATTATAGCAAAAACTGGACTAGTAGACAATTAAGTAACGTATTCCCTGGTTTAGTGTGTTTCTCAAGCCAGACGTTCCTCAATGGTACGCCAAACAAACGGCTACGTCAACATTCCAGCGTATTCCAATGAAATCTGCTTGAATCTACTGTCAGGTTATGTTTGAGACACCTGGTAGGCTGCAGGATTTTGATCCACAACGGAGCCAGATGACTAGCCCGCGTTGTGCATAGATGACACGACTGTCTTTCCGGTGCGCCTTCGGCATTTCCAGAGAAATTTCCTAAGACTCTGAGACCTCAAGGTGGTGCCGCAGCTCGTTAGCGAAGTTGGTTTATCAGTTCAATTTCACTGGGGTTCTTGGTAGTTAAGTTCTATCTATAGTTACTAAGGTTTATATACCAACTTACAACTGGGGGGGCACCACTGTGTTGGTACGTTGTATGAAGGAAACCATCCAAAATTCAGGCCTCTTTTCTGGTGTGACAACTGCATCTGATCAAATGTTGCCCGGTGGCTAGAGTTTCTATAGCGAGAAACTGGGTGATTCAAAAGATAAGCCTGAAAAGTCGTAACTTATTCAGGGGATTTCATCGAGTCATGACAGTCATGACCATTTTCTGGGTAACATTAATATTCAGCCCTATGGACCCAGCCGTACCTTCTTAGGAAGTGTGACTGGGATATGATTGAGGGGGTTCGCCGTACCTTCTTAAACATTGTTTGGATCCATAGGGTATATATTTGAATAAAATTCCAAAGGAACGATTGGCAGATTCGCTCGGTATATCTGAAATAGGAAGAATCCGGAATGCGTGGACTTGGAGAGGCAAGGATGGGAAACACGCAAGCGAAGCCCCCGCGACATGCCAGCATGGAAAATCTTTACGAAACAGGCCGAGAGTGCAGGAAGCCTAAAACTCCCCAGGCAATGGGCCAGGTTATACAATGTTATACAATGTTCTTCAATGTTTTACAGTGTTACAATCTCATACAATTTGATCAATTAGATTCAATTATATAGTGTAACTGTGAATTTTTGGTGGATGTTATATCTATAGTCAGATGGGCTCAGATGCGGTTATAAAGTATGTAACTCAAACGCCTCTGCATGCTTCATCAAGATATCCCCATTGAAAGGATCTCTTTGTGTTCCTCTGCAACAATCCATCTAAATCGAAATAGAGACTCATTAATGGTTTAATCCACATGACGCTTCTTTTGGAGGTATTTGAACTATCTATACTGTATGATAGTAGATATACAGACATCATCAGACATCTTCATTTAAGAGAGATGCTATGCCTACTTGATAGTCAGAAAGCTCAGAAAGCTCGGCCCCATGTCTTTTCCCCATCAAGAACAAACCAGAAGAAAGCGCTGGCTTGGCATCGGAATGTATTGGATCTGAATTCTGATAGCCAAATTATATGTCATAGTAATTCAACACTGGGGGTGGGAGCAAACTGGTGGGCCCTTGTTAGAGTCGAGTGGATATACAGGACTTAGAATTGTGATCTAAGATTCCCAAAGATTACCAAAGGATACCAAAGGTATCTTTAGATACTTCGGTCATGACCTAAGCTTATAAGGATCCCTAAAAACACCCCGAACAATTATATATATATACTCTCTTAACAACGTATAAAAGCTAGAATTGCATGGACCTTTTGCATTTTTCTTCAGCTCCGTGTTGGTACAAAAATTCTCATGTCGGGTCACCAGCCTGGCCCCAAGGTCAAGATCGCAATCTGGGCAGTTTCCCGGCAAAGCTCCACACCGATTTGAGGCCGGCCGAATGAAAAGCACAAGGGAAGCGGTTCGATGTTTTCGCACAAATAATAATGATATGGTTTCATTTTTTTGGGCGGATATAGCGAATTATTTGGGATATAATTCATTGCTTAGTAGTTTTGAGCACTGATGATGATGGTGCTGATGGTTTTCCAGCTTGCAAATAGTAGTTTTGAGCACTGATGATCATGGTGCTGATTGTTTTCCAGCTTGCAAACCGTGAAACTACCGGAGCAATGTGGTACAGAACCATATATCAATGGGAATTTCAGGGCCTTAAAAGGGAGGTACTGTACCATATAGAGCTAAAATTTGGGGACATACCCGCTTACATAGCCCTTACAAATAATACAGTAGGTACCTCCAATTTAGGTACCTGAAATGGCGAGTGAATAGACCTCCAAATTTAACTTAGTTTGCAGGTGTTTGAACCATCCAAAATGTGCATTTGAACATCTTTGAACACTCCAAAGGCACATATCCGAGCATGAACATGTTTGAACACTCCAAAACTACCCATATCTGAAGATTGACAAATTTGAACCCAGTAAACCACCCTTATTGCCCTCCAGTATTCAAACATGGTTTGCTGCAAAATCCACCATCTAGTTTCATGGTTTTCCCATTCTCCATGAAGTTTGGGATTTCCCAGCAAACCATGTTTAATTACCGGAGGGTACATCAACTTAATTGTGTATCCCATTATATCTCATTATATAGTTGGTACTATCATAGATGTCCTTTTCCCATTGGTTGGTTGGTTAATAGATGGGTTTGTTTACCCCTTTAACAACAGGTACATGATAATAGATGGTATACCAAATCGGCCGCTCTATTTTTACCAAAAGGACATTATTGGGTACTATAATATATATATATATATGTATAAATTATAAATATATATATATATATATTTCCACATACAGTATGTTCAATTCTGTGACAATCCCATGATAAATTCCCATGGTTGACCAGAGGCCAAGCCCATCCCTCATCTTCCAGTACCTGGATAGCTAACCAACGATAACCCCGAAATCACTATAATAAAATCAGCCTGGTACCCTATCTCAGGTAACCAGAAGGCACTTGTAGGATCATCGCACGTATGTATAGGAACTGGTTAATTTCACAATATTTATCACCCAGTTAAATACTTAATATATATATATATATGTATATACAATTTCATATAATATAATATTGTCTTATATTATATTATATTGTATGGTATTGTATTATATTATATTATATTATATCATATTATATTGTATTATTGTATTGGTTTAAATTAAATTATATATTATACTATATTGTATTGTATTATACTATATTGTATTGTATTATGTTTTATTGTATTGTATTATATTATATTATGTTATATTATATTATATTACATTATATTATATTATATTATACTATATTATATTATATATACATAAGGTATATTCATATATGTATATATATAGGTATGGGATTTTCTCTACTTTTTAATGGTGACTTTCTTACTTGGAGGATCTTTCCACAAACAGCAACTCTTTTTCGTAACCCTGGCGATCGTTCCCTATTCAGTAGGTTACCCCATCTCATCTCTAAATGGTTTCTTACAAACTAGGCTTATGAACTTATGAACCACTTAATCCCATCCGTTCATATTGAACACCCTCCGGACCCATGGTGGTTTAGTTCCCTACTTCCCTAAGTTGTTTTCTTTTGGGGTCTTAAAACTATACCCTATGAATCCATGGCCACTGTCTGAGAAGGAACGGTTAACCCCCTAGTCATCATACCCAAGTCGTCTAAAGCAGATACGGCTGCATCCATTAGGATTCAGATTTCATGAAATCCAGTTCATAATCCATTAATCATCCATTAAATCCCCTGAATATTCCACAAAAAAAACGTTTTTGATTTGGCTCCGGACAAATATCCCATTCTTAACCACTTCCTCAGCGGGATGAACCCCTTCGCCAGGCATGTGGTGGAGATGCTACGCCGCCGGAAACGGCCACGCTTCTCAGGTGCGACTCGACTCTCATCGATCTCAAAACGGGACGGACCGGGGGATGTTTAATCAGTGGTTTCACCACCAAAAGATGCCGGACATACCAGTTATAAATTATAAATTATAAGTTATAAGTCAATTATATAATTAAGTCCCCATTTTTTCAATGATACGCTTAGAACACCACTATTGATTTTGGTACCCATCCCATGTTCGTCCAGTTTTTTGACAGGTCTATCTTGCGCCTTATCAAACTATGGGTGATGTTTGGCGCTGTCCACCCAAGGTATGACTCTCAGATGCAATCAATGAAGCGCCATAGGTTATGTGAAGAACAGGCTGGTGCGTATTCTCCAATGTTGTTTTAGCTAATATCAGACTGACATCCATGGTGTTTTTTAATGATTTTTAAGCATCCGCTCAGGTAGTATAGTGGTTTTCCTCTCAAGTCTTCACTATAGTCGGCCATTCTTGGTAGTAAATTAGTCTTCACCATTTTCTTCCGGAATTCCAGGTGACTTTTCAGCTTCTGGCCGCAGGTGAACGGCTGTCCCTGTTGGAAGAAGCCATTGCGTCATCGCCCTACAGGCCATCGAAAACTGATTTGCCCAGCACCGTGATTGACGATTGAAAATAAATGAACATCAGGAATGCACAATCATCAAATGGTGATATGGTAGTTGATCATCAAATAAAACATGTTTGTATACAATATATATATATATATCAACTACCATTTATACGAACATCAAGAATGGTGGTTGATCATCAAATTGATGCGGATTAAATTGATGTGATTTAACCAGGAAAACTACTTCGTTTCAATGTGTTTGAATAATGGGTCTATACCCGATTTACGCTTATTTTTTTAATGCGGACCATGATGATGAACCAGTGGATCAAATGGGGTACCTGTGGTTGGACTGTCCAACCACAGATGGTGTGAACATGTGGATCGAATGGGGGTTTTCAACTATAGTATCTTACAGTAGCTGCAAATTGCCGGGGGCCCTTTTGAATGTTCAAAAAGAAGGCGACTTGTGATTCGCGCAGCTCAACCACCAGCAGCATCCCTTTTGCTGGTTGGTGGTTTGGAACATGAATGGATTATTTGTCCATTCAGTTGGGAATGTCATCATCCCAAGTGACGAACTCAACTCCATCATGTTTCAGAGGGGTAGGTCAACTCAACCACCAAGCAGCATCCCTTGTGGTGGACAGCTTCACCTTTTGAGGTCTTTGGAAGAACTGAGACAACAGATCGAGGCTCAACAAAGGGATGGACAGAGGTGATTTTTTTAAGACAGGTGGATACTGTCAATGGGAATATCCTAACTAGTCTTAGAACCAGATTTAATGACCATCATTAATCTTAGATGGATACAAACTAATCCTAACATATCCTAACTAGTCTTAGATGGTATCAATGGGAATATCTACGTTCACCAGCAAAGAATTTGTCATTTTTTGCAGGGTATCTAAGATTGGCAATGAGGTGTTGTCATCATATTTCAAAGCAACAGAAGAGTTGACATGTTCGCAATTATGGTTTTGTGTATTAATATTGTGTATACAGTATCATCCATTCCCCCTACTAGTTCTAGCCCATCAGAAACCATGGTTTTTCATCGGGAATTTACACATCTTTGGAACCATGCAATGGGGCCTCAAAGCGCGCAGCTCGTTTTGGGATGATCCCCCTTACCGATCTTCATTAGATATGTTATGATATATTATATTAGTATAATCTAGCATTTTTTTTGCAGCACATCTAGTATCATATATCATATGTTTATACTGTTATACTTATATATTTATATAAGCCCCAAACAAATGTTAATATGTTTTAATTAAATCATATACATATAATATATATATATATATATATGTATGATTCATTATATTATAAAGCCACAGCCTCCAACTATAGCCTGAAACATGCTGGTTTTACACCATCGAACCGTAGCCGGCCTGTGAGGCCTGGAGGGAAGAGGACCGCGCCGGCTTCGATGCGAACCGTTTCTTGGCACCGTACGCTTTTTTGCGCGGTCCAGCTACGGTGGTAAGGTGAAGTCAACGTAGCAATGTGTGTATGGCTTATGAGATAATGATATCATGTATGATAATGTGGTTAATATAGTACTTATATATCCAACTATATAGTATATACTTAACTACTTAAATCTATCTATATCAGTATTTATGGGGTTTATGAAGCAAACATCACTGGGAGGCCATTGTGGCCATGCTTGTGGGGACACCAGCTGATTATCACTTGCGCAAGTTGCTCGAAGATGGCTTTCCAAAGGGGATTTGGGGGGTCCCCAATTTTCAGACACACCTAAGATTTTTATCCCCCTTGACTGTACCTGTATGGAATGGAAGAACCCACTCCCCGTATGAAATGGAAAAACCACATAAACCAGTTTTTTATGGAATGGTGGGGCACGGCTTCCTACCCATCAATCAAGGGGGATAGATTTTTTATGATTATTCCATACTTTGGTATCCAAAGAAAGTACGGTGACACCTTTGGTCCATGTTTCCACCATAATCACACCTATGGTACCTAAGCTTGCTTGTCAGACACACCTACTTTGCCGGACCATCTTCATTCCACTCCCAACTTTGGAACAGACACACAATCTAGTTAACCGGAGTTGACAGGAGAGCACGCAGGAATAACACAGCTAGCTGTAAACTTGTATAATATATATATATAACTATGTTCATTTTTTTTGGTCCGGTAGGAAAGTGGCCAAAAACCAAAAACGATGAATCAGCCAGGGGTTTAGCAACTATTCCCCCCACGTTTTTTGATTGTTAAAACCCGATTGAATCAGCATTTGTCAGTAAGCTCCGATCCAACTCGAGGATCCATTTTTTAAAGAGACCCATTGGATCTGCCAGGTAAAGCCCATTGGAATTTCATGTTCTATAAATCAACCAGAAATCCATCCAGGGCTTTCCCTGTCAACTTGAATATGAATAATATGATATGTTCATCATCATAATAGTGATATTAAGTGATTAATAGTGATGTTCCTAAGATTGATAGTGATGTTGGTGATTTTAATTTTCATGTTCATTGATGTGAAATTTCGACATCTGAGCCGCCTGAGGCTACTATGATTCCGACCGCACGGTGGGGTACACGGAGCACAACCGCGGGTCCCAGGACGGCGTGCTGCAACGCACGGTTGGGTGCTCCCAACTTGCTAAGGTTTATGGAGGATATAACATGATATAACCTGGTTGGTGGTTTGGAACATGAATTTTATTTTTCCATATATTGGGAATAATGATCCCAACTGACGAACTCATATTTTTCAGAGGGGTTGAAACCACGAACCAGTATATCCCTATGGATCCTGCATGATCCAGCCATAGCTTCAGGAAGTGTGGGCATGACGGACGTTTCGGTGGGTCAGCCGTAGCTTCTCAGACAGCCATGGATCGGGCATGATATAAGGCCCTTAACAGTTATAAATGGGAGTATTTCATGGTATATAACCTCAGCTGTAGGATTTATAATCCCATTTACAACTGTTAAGGGACATAACTGCATGATATAACTATAGGCTATAGGTTAGTTGGTGGTACCAACTGAACAAGCCCCAGCCTGTGGCAGCCTGTGAAGTGGATTGTCCATTGCCACTTTGGATTGCCGGAGGGTCCCCACCGGTGTTTGTACCGGGGCACCATCCCAATCTCGGCTACCATGGAAGCTATCATGGCTATACCTCACGCATAGATTTATCATTTGGGATGAGCATCCCTTCACTTTGAGAGCTGCATTTTCTGAAGCACTCCATTGTTCGTTGAAGAACTTGGAACTGGTTTTTTTGCACGAATGATCAACAGACAGGTGTGTCATCTATGGTGTAAATTACACAAATACAAAGCCTCGGACCATTTCGGACCATTTGGACGGAGGGTTTTGATATTTGATACCCTCTGGCATCCTCTGGCAATTTGTTACATAGCGAAAATGGCCCATAGAAATAGTTGATTTACCCATTAAAAATTGTGATTGTCTTATGAAAAATGGTGATTTACCCATTAAAAATGGTGATTTACCTATTAAAAATGGTGATTTACCCATTAAAAATGGTGATTTACCTATTAAAAATGGTGATTTACCCATTAAAAATTGTGATTTTCCTTTGAAAAATGGTGGATCTTTCCATCCTTTTTCGTATGACCAGGCCGGGTAAGTCCTCCCTGTTTCGATAATCCCATGGGCCGCATTTGAAGGAAAAATCCCATGAAATTCCCATGAGATTCTGTCCGTTATTGTTGATTATCCATACATTTAAATAGCATAAACCATTCATCCCATTATTTGTCGATGATATTATCGTTGTACACCATGTAACTTGAATCATCCCATATAGATACTACGTTAATATTCCACTAATATTCCATGCCCCGTTGATATTCCATGAACTTTCCACGAATATCCCATGAATGTTCCATGTTCTGTTAATGTTACAAGTATATTCCATTATTGTTCCACATTCCATTAATATTCCATGAGCATTTCACTCATACGCGCCATTAATGTTCCATATTCCGTCAATATTCCACTAATGTTCCATATTCTATTACTAGTCCATTCATAACTCATATCCCACTAAGTCCTAGCACATCCCATTCTTAATGTCGCCATTCATTATTTCCCCCATCCCTATGGATCCAGCCGTACCTTCTTAGGAAGTGTGACTGGGGTATGATGACGTTTCGGGGGGTCAGCCGTACCTTCTAAGCCCCACCGCAAGGACACCCTCACGCGGCGCAGCCTTCAACTCTCCTCTGTGCCCACGGAGGGGCCGGCCCAGGTGACGGATAGCGGGAGCTGGGGGGGGTGGATTTTTTCGCCGACGGAAAGGCTGGAGTTTAACAACAACTGGTGGATTTCATAGGATTTAACCAACACAAATGGTTCCAGGAGGTTGAAACTTACCATGTTTTTTTGCTGGTTTCACGTTTTTTTTCCGGAGTTGGTTGGAGTAGAAACATGAATTTGGCCGTTAAGAACTTTGTTTTTTTCCCCACCTGCCAGGTGAGGGTTGTTAGATTATAACAGAGCTGTTCTCCTCCTCTCCTCCTCCTCGCAGTCCAGATCCCAGTGGGCACAGCCGGTCCTCCACCGCGAGCGCCAGATCCCAGTGGGCACTGCCGGACCTCCACCGCGAGCTCAAGATCCCAGTGGGCACTGCCGGACCTCCACCGCAACTTCCAGGTTGCAGTGGGCACTGCCGGACCTCAACCGCGACTTCCAGATCGCAGTGGGCACTGCCGGACCTCAACCGCGACTTCCAGATCGCAGTGGGCACTGCCGGACCTCAACCGCGAGCTCCAGATCCCAGTGGGCACTGCCGGACCTCAACCGCGACTTCCAGATCGCAGTGGGCATTGCCGGACCTCAACGGGAAGAAAAGATGTCAGATAGAATGTCAGAAGATATGCCAGGTAGAATGCCAGAAAGAATGTCAGAAAAAATGTCAGAAGATACGTCAGACAGAATGTAAGAAGATATGCCAGAAAGAATGTCAGAAGATATGTCAGATAGAATGTCAGAAGATATGCCAGATAGAATGCCAGAAAAAATGTCAGAAGATATGCCAGATAAAATGTCAGATAGAATGCCAGAAGATATGCCAGATAGAATGCCAGAAGATTTGCCAGTTAGAATGCCAGAAGATATGCCAGAAGATATGCCAGAACATATGCCAGAAGATATGCCAGATAGAATGCCAGATAGAATGCCAGAAGATATGTCAGATAGAATGCCAGAAGATTTGCCAGTAAGAAAATGTATAAATGTCATGGTGGGGATCATTCGATGTGAAGTAATTTTCTGTAACATGCTGTAAGTATTCCCTGAACCAATCCCAGTGAGTTTTGTGTTTCCAATTCCTTACAAATAGGGGATTCAATTCCGTCAACCGTTGCGTCATGGAAAAAATATAGCTGATATTGTGCATATCTTCGCCGGTTTGGGATCCATAAGTTTTATACGGACTGCCATCCAGTATATACCCATGTCAATGCGTGTTTTTTTTGTCCGAAAAAACAGGTCTAATGGCAGTCACAGCCACAGATTTCTGGGTCTAATGGTAGTCACACCAAGTGTCGGGTCCTCCTGCATCTGGTGTTTCACCTGCAATTTCCAGAGCCGGCCCCAGGACACCATTTTGGCGGTGTTGCTGACATGTTTGAGGGCTGGCTTTGCAGCTGCGGGTCCACCTGTTTGGATGAGCCTGGCGGCTAGCAAGTGGTTCGTAAGAATTAAATTAGACGAATATGACAAGGTGGATAATGTAGCGATGTTCAAAGCACCCTTGTATGTCACACAGGTGAAGTTGTTGGCTGGACGGCTGGACATTGCTTCAACAATGCTGCCATGTTTGAAGAAGGATTCCCATTTTTAGGGGGGTCGGGGTTTGGACATGTTTGGACTGTTTGGACATATATTTATTCCCACTCTTTGTTACATTCATCTTTCATCCATTTCAGGATCCTTCATCAACCAAATATGGGATGAAATGGTCAATAGTATACCAGGTACAGTCCCTAGACAGGTAAGCTGGTTCATAACTAGCTAACTAAAGGGTTCTTGTTGGAGATATCTACACTTGGTTACATAGATGAACAGTAAAGCAGCTCATCATTCGGGGGCTCAACAAAGTGATTATATAACCTAATGTTGAATCAACTAACAAAATAAGATAAAATATGCAGATTCAGCAAATATGTCTGCAGCTCGATGCGTTTATGAGATACAATTACTGCAGTTGGTGGTTTCAGATATTTTTTTATTTTCCGTAATAATTATATGGGATAATCATTCCCATTGACTAATAGTTTTACCTAAAATGAATTCAATGAAAAAAAATAAGAATATACAACAGTAATCAAATAATTTTCAAGATGGTTAAAACCACCACCAGATTAATATACTATATATATACGTGTATAGTAAGACCCGGGAGGGAAAGACGAGTAAGTAATTTATCACTATTTCAGGAGGGTCGTGCTCCAACTGTTCTATCCTTTTTGGGTGGCCTATCAGCAGAAATACCACCAGAAATACCTAGACCCTCCAAATACCACCAGAAAATGGCAAAGGTACTAAGATGATGGGGTAAAACACCATTTCCAAGGGTACTTGGAGGGTCTATAGAGGGTCTATATACCCCTATGGATCCAAACACTACCTGAGTACGGCTAACCGGCTAGTCATCATACCCCAGTCACACTTCCTGAGGTACGGCTGGATCCCTATATTGTACATGATCTGGATTATATACCAACGATAAAACATGATAAAACTACCCATAGCCAGGTGGACCTGGGTTGCGGCAGTGGCCTCTCAACCCTCAGTGCGCTGAACGCCGCGAACGGCCTGGGCGTCATCGGGCTGGACCTGTCGTCCGAGATGCTGCGCGCGGAGGAGTGGAAGGAGGTGCGGCAACTCGGGCTGAAGGGTTCAGTTTTTGCCATCGAAGCAACAGGGGGATGATCCAAGGAAATGTACGGAAATTGTGGAATTTTACGTTATTGTGTTATATTTTGTTCGGAAAAATGATGGTTTGACCTGCCAGAATTTGTTATTTCACTGGGAAAAATGATGGCACAAATGGTGGTTTTATTAGCAACATGCTGGGTATGACGGTATAATTATATATGAACATAGGCGGCGGTGATTTTTGTTTGGTCCAAAATCGAATTTTAACTCACACAGAATCCGGTGATTTTATCGGCAAAAACCATGGGGATTTTCGGAAAGACCACTATACTGAAAAGTCTGAAAATGGAGTGCCTGAAATTTCATGGTTGCTCCCTCTTCACATGGCACTGTCAAGGTATTTTTCCATGTTGAGTCGGTGCTCCCAAAAAAAAAACGGGCAGTTTTCAGCTGCTTGACCATCCAAAGATCCACAGAATTGCTGGATTTAAGCACAAACTAAAGCTGGATTTAAGCATGACACATTGGAAGTGAACCATCATACCGAAATGATCCAAAATGATCCGAAATGAAAAATGGCCCATGTTGGAACATCGCACGGTTGTTCAGCATAACGTGATTGTGAGATGGGTCAAAACTACAGATTGGTGCGAATCTCAATGATAATGACAGGATTTTGAAGTGGTCCATGGAAGATTCCAAATTTCAATGTAAAAATAAGCTATACCACATTTACGAGAGTCACAAATGCCTTATAAGTCAAACTTGGGAGGACAATGGGTGGTTTAGCCGTGTTTCAAACAATTGAATATATTTGAGGCTTTCCATAAATGGGAGTATCCCTAAATCGTCCATTTCAAATCATTTTAGATTAGGATTCTCCATGAAAGCAACCATCCAGCTATTGGGGTACCCCCATTTATGGAAACCCTGATGTTTAATACATTTCTGATTGGTGGTTTGGAATATGAATTTTATTTTTCCATATAGGAATAATGATCCCAACTGACTAAAAATTATGTGGAGGGTGCTAGGTGTACAAAGTTGGTGTAGGAAGCATGCCAAGCTGGCTTCTTGCATCGCCATTCGAGATTTTGGCAGGTAACGGGAAAGTGGAAAACTGACTTTCATATTTTTCTGAGGGGTGGCTCAACCACCAATCAATGGGAATTTCAGGATCCTAAAATGGAGGTGCTGGCGGGGATATTCCCTTACATAGGCCTGAAAAATAGGCCTTATATATGGTAGATACATGTAGATACCTCCAATAAATCGGTTCCTGAAATGGCCATTGATACTCTATATATTTAGTATATAATATTATATACTAAATATATATATATATATATTATATAATATTATATACTAAATATATATATATATATTATATATTATATTATATATCTTATATTTTATATTATATTATATATATTTGAATAGCTCCTGTGGGTCCATGGCTAGGCGAATCCGCGGCGACCTCTGGCGGGCGAGCGACTGCGGGCAGATTTGGCGCAGCCGCTGCCCTTCAGAAGCTCCGGCCTGGTCCGGCCTCGATGTTTGTTGTCCCATAGAGTTATGGTCGTTATAACCCTTAATAGTTATAAATGGGATTATTTTAGTTATAAATGGGATTATTTCATGACATATGACCCCAGTTATAGGAGTTATTATCCCATTTATAAATGTTGAGGGACGTAACTGTATGGGTACAAGGTGGAACCCTCATGAATAATCCATTCACATCCATTAACTATAGACTATATATATATGTATATAATACCACTGACATCCATTAACATCCATCAACATCCATGAACATCCATTAGCATCCGTTAACTATAATACTTATATATACATATATATATAGAGAGAGAGAGACTATAGACGGGATAGTAAACGATTTTGCCCACCTTTCGTTGAGATCGGATCGGATCGGATCACCCGCAATCCAAGTGTGAACACAACGAAATTAGAATCCATATGATCTATTCATTAAAGGACCAGATAACCCAACATGTCAATTTCTTCCAATAAACACAAAACAGTGTGAAGATGGGAATTATATTTGAAATCTCCATAAAAAGATAGACTTTCATTCAAGTCACTGGACATATAATTTTGGATATTTGTTTGATATGTTTTTTTTTTCCGAACAGTTGGGCGCCCAGGAGATCACATCTTCGATCTGTGCTACAGCGTTTCAGCCGTTCATTACTTGGCCTCCGATTCCCTGACCCAGTCGGCGGCTCGGCGGATCGGTCAACTGACCAGCAGCGTCAAGCGGATCTTGAGACCCAAGGGGAGGCCGTGTACGCTGCAGGCCTATATGAAACTTGGCCGTGAAATGATGCAGGTTGGATGGACAGGTAAGTTTTACTATGTTGTATTGTATTTTGTGTATCTCGGTTTGTTGAACCTGTGAGTTTTTTTTAATGGTATGTATATATATATATACATGTGTGTGTGTGTTTATGGCTGTGTTTCTACTATGGTCCATGGTTTATTGTCTTTTTTGGGGATATTATAGTTCAAAGTATTAATGTCAATAGTCAATAGTCACTCATGTCAATGGTCACATTGTCCTTTTTCAATGAAAAATCCATTGATTACTGTAACTTATCCCTAGTCTTCCAGTTACCTGTATATCCGGACCCGGCTGGTTACCAGCATCCAGGTAAGCAAGATTGGCAAATCCTCCATACCGCAGCAACCTTTCTGGCGTATGGGGAAAGGAGGAATCCTTTTCCCACACCCCGAACGCAACATCATCCGCAAGATATTTTACGTGCGCCGTTACTCAAAAAGAAGGCATTTGCAAAGGACCGTCACAGAAACTATAGAAACAATTTCCGGAGTTTTCCGACTAACTTGCTGAAATCTAGAGGAATCACCCGTTTTTACGCAGATGTACGCATCGAAGCAAACGTAGATTCGGTGGCAGCTTCAACCCATCAAATATCATGCTGAACCGTCCTGCGTAACCTAGTCGACAAAACAAATAGAATATATATTGGAGGAAGTTTTGCAGGTAGGCCATGTATCAAAACATGAGGAAAATCACAAGAACCATTCAAAATATTGTAAAACTGTACGAGAAGTAATGGCCATTGAACATCTCACTGTGTGTTATCTACAGGAACCGTGATAGGAACCGCAAGTGGAGATTCTGGTTCCTCGCCACAACTGTAGTTCCAATGGTTCCAGGAACTGAGGCCTGGTTACCTATTATATGATAACTAGGAAGCCTTGGGCATTATTTTCCCCAAAACATGCATGCTTTGAGACTGACCAACGATTTCGTAGATCTCTGGTTGGTGGTTTGGAACATGGCTTTTATTTTCCATTTCATATATGGGATGTCATCCTTCCCATTGACGAACTCCATCATTTTTCAAGATGGTTAAAACATGTTAAAACCACCAACCAGTAAACTATGGAAAGATCCACCAGTTTCAATACCCAGATGCTCCATGTATAGTATATTTACCTACATTTGGCTCATTTATGGGGTAAATGTTGGTAAATATTCCAGCACCATGGTTCGCATATGGGATAGGTAAATCCACTTTTTCGACTGGGCCATGGCTTCAATAGCGACCCCATGGCGTCGCTCAGGACCCGCGAGTCCAATGCCGTGGAGACCTTTCGGCAAGTGGCGCTGCGCGATGGATGGGACATCTGTGAACTCGTGGCGCCTCGGCAGAGGGTTGGGGACCATGGGGGGCCAACGTGGCGGGCCGGAGAATCCCCGAAGTCAACCATCCCATATCCCATGACGGATCCATGGTGCTGCCATATATGGTAACATGGATCCCATCAATATACCCCCAATGTTAGCATATATACCATACATGGATCCTATGGGTATGCTCAATGTATGGTATATTTACCTACAAAACTGTGTGTTTTTTGGTACAAATGTTGGCCAATATTCCAGCACCATGGAGCATATGGGCATGGGAAACATGGGGAAATAATCGGAAGAAGTGCGAAATCCAGGAAATCCCAGAAATCCATGGTTTAGTTGGGAAAGTCATCGAAGTATACTGGACTTCCAGTGTTTGATGACACCGGAGGGTGTGGATACACCGATATGAGAGTTATGTTAAGGCAGTTGAGGTGATCATATGCGTTATCACTCAGCTTGTTTTCCAGCAATATGAAGTACTATACTTAACGGTTGTTAACATGACGACCATTGTAGAATGATGACCTCAGGGATTCGGGAAATCTACCAGATGTTCGTGGTCCGAAGGATTCCGGGCCGGCCCGGTTGGTTGATGAGTGCTGGGATTTGTTCACCAGATGAGAAACTATTTGGGGGGATCCCCTGTTGGTGGATGATTATATAGAATATATATATTAATATATATATGGGATTATACTGACATATTATATATATAAATGGGATTATACCGACATATACTAACCAATATGTTTGGGATGAGGAAATCCCTATGAATGAATCAGTATGTGACGACACAAGGTTTTGATCACTGCTGTTCGGTTTAGTGATCTGAAAGCCACGATCTTTTGAGACAAATTGTAGTAAAAATGTGAATTTTACCATCAAAGACTCGGAAGCATGGGAACATAGTGGGATATACATGGATATACAATATGAATCAAGATAACATGCAGGTCCCAGCTAATGTGTTTTCCAAAAAAACCCTTTGGGTCTATGCGCAGGACGAATCTTGACCATTTTTACACCTCTGAACACAGATGTGTGGAAGTGTTTGATGTGACACTTGAATTATATTGTTATAATTCGTGATATGTAATATGCTGTTTTATTTTGTAATAATATGGTGTGATCCAATCTTATCCGCAGGTGTGATGTGATCAGTTCACCGAAGCTTCGCAATTTCTGAGGTTGATCAATCCCATGGGAAGGCGGAACGCAACTTGGCAGCGGCTTGTGCTCAGACCTATCAGATATGCAACCCCAATTTCATGCGGTAAAATAGATTACCTATCTCAGAGGTAACTGGAATTTAAGGGTATGTTGGAGTGAAGAAACTCATGTTGATCTTGAGCAATATCCAACTTCCCCGGCCGAACGGGGTCTGATCAACTGTTCCATACACTTCAAAATGTATCCAACAGTAGATATGGAGAATGTAAAGAAAGTGGAGATGAACTATAGTAATTGGTTATGTTTGTTTTTCGTGTGTGGATTGAAGCCATTGTCCAGTGCCAGATGCATGTCCTCTGGTAGCTCTGAGAACCAGGGCCGTCCAATGATGTCTGGTTTTGAACCCATCGAACTGTAGATATGTCCACCACAAACCCATTTGTTAGGCTAGTTCTAAGCCAACTTACCTATCGAGTCAGTAAGTGTTTAGTAACTTTATGGAAGGAAGTTTAGAAGTCAAACTTCCGACAATATGGACAGATGGAAAAGCAGAGGTGAGAAGAGTCAGAGAAGAGAAGAGCAGAAGAGAGAAGATCAGAGAAGAGAAAGAGTCAGAAGAAAGAAGGTGCAGGTGCGCGAAAAGGTAGAAAAGTCGAGAAACACTGTGTTTTTCCAATGATTTGTGGCTCTGGAGGGGCACGCGTTGTGGCGCGAAGCACATTTCCAATTCAAAATGCATAAAACACCTCAGTATCGGACCACTTTTGGAAGTTGACATGTCGAACAAGTGCACGCCGTTGTGACGCGAAGCACGTTTGGAAGTCAAAATTCAGATGTGAAAAAAGTGCCCGCCGTTGCAGCGGGAAGCACATTTCCAAGTCAAAATTGTAAAAGCACCATGCTCGGATGACTTTTGAATACTTTTGAAGGTTCAGATGTGGTTTTGCGTGGCAGGGGCGAGGGATTCTGCACCTTGCCAAAAGTGAGCGAAACGTGAGGGTTTTGTGGCATGTCCAAAAACGATGGCAGGCGTGGCGCATTTGCAATGGATCTGCAAAGGTGCATGTCGCGTGGCAGGCGCAGTACACGAGACATGTTCATCAGAGATGTTTGGAGGTCAGGCCGCTAATTTCCTGAGACGGGTTGCATTTTGGAGCATGCGATCTTCAGGCTCCCTCCTCCCAGCAGCTCCATCTGAGCTATTAAAAATACCCATTATCGGGGAAAATGAACTATCCCATATTAGGGAAACCATGGAAAAACCTATCAACCTTAAGTATCCTCAAGTAGTATTTCATGAGATTTCATAATGCTATGGCCCATCTATGGCTCATCTGAGGTGATTTTCTCTATCTTTCCCACGGCCTTACGCCATCCGCGTCACGTCCACCTCGCTGTGCCCTGTACCGCCACTGCAGCGCCACCTGTGCCTTGGCCCTCGAGACTTGGGCCAAGGGCCCGGAAACGTGGCCAGCAACGCGGCGGCCAGGGGCGGCCAGGGCCAGGGGCGGCCGGTCAAGTCGGGAGATGTTCGGAAAATTCCAAGAGACAACCAACAAGAATCCAAGATTGTATGTTATTAATAGTTGTGAATATATATATATATACACAAAATAAATCCCTAAGCAAATATCCCCTATATAAAATGAGGGGGGTCATGGTCTGCTATATTTTGTTTTAGAAGCTTCCAGCTGCAGCCACTTTGCTTCCAATGTCAGCAAATTCCAGCTATGGTCTTTCAATGGGTTCGTTCCAGATTTTCAACCCAACGAGAGGTCGCTGACACAAAGTCAGTCGCGCACAACAAAACAAAGAGATCAAAAATAATGGATGGGAAGCAAAACATGATCAAACTGAGCTGCTGCGAAACCTGTTGGGACCAGTCATTTTATAGGCATTTCAGCATTTCAGCGGATAACGCCAAAGTGATTTTTGGGTCAATGCTCCTCAAAATATAGTCCTTTGTTTTTTGGTGCCATTCATTCTATAGGCTGTATAGGCTGTATCTAGTCATTTTATAGTGATAACAAGTTTATCACGTTAAAAGGGCTACCAAGACCCCCTCATGCATGGGAATATGTTTTTCTAGATTGTTGTATTTTAATGTATTTTACATTTTACATTACAGTATATGGTATTAAATGTTATCATCATCATCACCACCGTCACCATCATCAACATCACCATCATCATCGTTGTCATTGTCATCATTGTCATCACCAGTGTCATCATTTTGTCATCATCATCATCATCACCACCACCATCACCATCATCAACATCACCATCATCATCATTGTCATTGTCATCATTGTCATCATTGTCATCATTGTCATCATTGTCATCATTGTCATCATCAGTGTCATCATCAGTGTCATCATTTTGTCATCATCATCATCATCATCATCACCATCATCACCATCATCATCATCAGTATCATCATCATCATCACCATCACCATCATCATCATCATCATCATCATCATCTTCATCATCATCATCATCATCATTATCATTATCATCATCACCATCATCACCATCATCATCAACAGCAGCAGCGTCATCGTCACCATTTTCATCATCATTATCATTATCATCATCACCATCATCACCATCATCATCAACAGCAGCAGCGTCATCGTCACCATTTTCATCATCATTAACATCATCATCATCGTCATCATCATCATCATCATCAACATCAACATCTTCATCTCCATCTTCATCTGTATATATCATGATTTTTTTGTGTACAAGAAACACCATATCCTACAGTTATGTCCCTTAACAGTTTTGAATGGGGTTTTAACTCCTATAACTGACGTCATATGTCATTACAGTCCCATTTATAACTATTAAGGGCCAAAACTGTAGAATGTTTCAGGCTTCCCTATGAGTTTCGGTCCCTGAAAGGTACACCTGGACGGCGCGCACAGAGCTTGGCTGGTCCGAGAGCATGACCGCTATGCCAGACGGATCCTGCGCTTGCAGAAACGCGCCTGGGTGAAACGTGGTGAAACGTGGGGAACTTACCAGGAATGGGGTTAAGACCCTGGGTTAACCATGGTTAACCATCATGAATAGACTACTTGATGTTGGTGTATGTTGGTTTAAAATATTTTTGTGTTTGATGATTTCTTCCGCAATAGGACATCGACCAAGCCTCTTAAGCAAATCCATCCCCAACTTCGACATCTGCACCGCAGCCTGGAGAACCCGACCAAGAAAAAAACGTTTGCTGTATGGTTCCATCATATGTTCCATTTGATGCTTCGAAACTGGTAAGATCTGCTAGGATTGACTCTCAGAAAACAGAAAAAGACTGGCTGACTGGCCTTTTCGTCAGGGTTCGTCATACGCTCCATGGATTTTGAGCGACTGCATCCCCGACTGGATACTTCCGTACCTTAGATCGAACACAGCCCTGCATCCGCTATGTTTCCAGCTCAGGCAGAGCAGAACAATGATCTAATTTTCAAATATCATCATGATTTCAACAATCACTATAATATATATATATATATACATATATATATATGATCTATCGAGCTCATGTGGAGAGAGTCAGTGTTCATCAACCTCCTTGCAGGCTAGAGCGGTTGAGGCACCGTCAGTCTCCTCATCAACAGCACAGTGGACGAAGGTATTCTTTACTTTCACAGACATGTTCATCTTGCTGCAGCACAATGTACTTTGCGTTTTGGCAAAGTACTTTGTGCTGCAGCAAGATGAAAGTTTCTGTGAAAGTAACGCTTGCCAAACGTCAGCGGCTTGAGCCACAAAACCGAGACCGTTGATGTGACACGGATGTTACAGCAAACCAGTTCGAGTCCTAGAGCAGAATGACTGAGTGAAATATAAAAAACCTCTACATAAGCATTCTGGACATGAATATCGAACAACTTCAACCAATGCCCAAGCAGATTTCATCCCTAACAATCATGCTGCAGCGCAACTTTCTGCTTCTACGCCTTCGCAGCCTGCGAGGCTGCCGATCGCTATGTGGAAGCTGAAGACAAGAAATACAAACGCTATATGTACAACAAACAACGTCACAGGTAGCCTCACAGGCCCATGAGGACTCAGACGGAGGCATGTCAGTGCATTCCAGCAAAGTCTTTGTCCAGCAACTGAGTTCGCCCAAGTCATCACCACAAAAAGAATTCCTGGGGGGGTTAAAGCAGCAAAACACGGGGAACTAACAATGAAAATAGTATAGAGGTTTCATCCTCGAAAAATGGTGGTAAACGTTCTTGACGGGTAGTTTAATACTTGAATCCCGTGGGAAAATTGAGACCAAAAGGATCTCAGGGGCTCTTAATCATGCTAGATGTGGTGAAACAGTTAGAGATGATTTGGATGTGGTATCCTATCTTGGAATTGAGGTACTTGTATGAATAGATATGGTGGACCGTTTTGTCAGTGGCTCAAAAGTAGGGTACCAATGTGCCACTGGACCCTCTAAATTGGTCCTTTTTGCGTTTTTGTTGGTGGCAAGGCGCAGCATTTGACCAACAAGGTCATATTGATATGGAAGATGTGAGGACTTTTTTGAAATCCAATGCAAAACTTCAAACCGTACATTGCCATTCGACGTAAACAATAACGCCAACAACATAATAATGCATAGGAAAGCAGCAAGAGTATCCAGGACGTGAGCAATGATAATATATGAGTATGCAAGCTGATGTGAGTGATATACCATGCCGACATGTTAAACAAAGTTTTGGCATTAGACATCAACTTTGCCAACAATTTGAATTGAAGTTGCTAACACGTGGATGCAGGGAGTCAAAACACACTATCTATACACAAACGTAGTAGTGCGGACACAGCAACCTGTAGTAAATCCAAAGACCTCTACATGCACAAACATAAAGATTACATGAAATATATTGAAATACTGCAAAAACCCAATTTCAGATACATATGGCCATATAGCATAATGTAGCCATTCCCATGTTTAATGGCTAAGAACCCTTGGCCACTTTTGGCAGTAAGTTGCTTCACCAGAATAGTGGGTTGCATTCCTACCAAAAACAGAAATCATGCTTACGTGACTGTTTATGTAGTTATATATCCAACCGTTCAGATTTAGATTGAGGGTGACTGATTATTAAGAAAAAACATAAACTTACATCCATTGACGTTGTTGTGCATTGATCGCACTGCACATTGATGATTTATTGGTGCTGGATGATAGTTAAAAAGGATCAACAGATAAAGTTATGAACCATTATGCAATAATACATACGTATATTCATCCAACAGTTGCCACGCTATTGATATCTATTTAGTATTCTTGTCAACTGTTGTGACCACAAGTTAGTATCCATATCTATGTTTTATCCATTCATTATATGTTTGGTATTCAGACATATCTATTTCTATAACATATTACAACATCCTGTATGTTATGTGGGCCAAAATCTGTGGTCCCGTTTTAGATTTTGACCCATAGCCGTCTAGTATTGGATGGGCATGGTAGATACAATAGATTAGTATACCTATGAGCCTATTAGCAAAGTTAGTGATTGTCATAGCCATCATGAGGCCCATTGTCAAATAGGCCAAAGTTAGTTATTGATTGGGGGCAACTTAGGCCCAACGATTGTCTTGCTAATGTTCATTATTGATTACCTATTGTCATAGTTAGCTGATTAGTATTGGAGTTTTTCCCATTAAAAATGGTGATTTTCCATAGTATGTTAGTTTACCAAGGTGATTGTCATAGCCATCCAGGAGTTCTGTGGCCCCCAACTCTTCCCTCAAATTTTGGGAGCCTCACCCCAGGATGTGATGATGGAGCGCCACTGGATCATTCCTCCCCTGGAGCAGAGGAGCAGATCTTGGTGTCTTGGTGACTCAGTTTTCCCGGTTTTTGGAGCGCCTATTTTGGGCAGGTGCAAAAACCTCCACCAGAAATAGGGTTTTGTCCGCATCGTGTGTAGTGTTGAAAATGGGGCTTTAACCATGGTTTTAACCATCAGGCACATGAGGACACATGAGGATGACATGGATACATGATGATTGGTTGCTGATTCAAAGCGGTTAGAATACTACCCCTCATATAAATGTATAAATATATTATATATACTGTATATATATATATTATATATACACCTATACATATAGATATTGGGAGCTATCATTTATTATGGGCATCCCTATCAACCAGCCAGTATGTTTTTTTTTCAGAGGGGTCCACTGCCCACATGGGAACAACAAACCTTTTTTTTGGGATTTCGTGTAATTGGACGCCACGAAAGTTAGACAGCAGACATGGGCTTTGAAGACATGATTGGACAAACTGATTAACTAACGGAAATCCGGATTTCACACGAGTTGACAAGCAAACACACGGATGATGTGCTCGAACCAACAGACGTGGAGATGTTCATAATACTTAAATACCAGCAAAACTGAGGCATTCTACGTGATGTACTCAGTAAAGCTCATTTTTGTGGGGCTCACAATTTGATCAATATCAGCACCAAGAATGGAAGTTTGACATGGAAACGGATGGATTTGGGATGATTGAGATCATAGTGGAAACCGAAGAAGGAACGCAGATCCGAATAGATTTCACTGGTTTTCGTTCCTCCTCAGGTGAAAACTAGGTATATATATACATATGAATATTGTCTGGGTGTGCTATTTGGATATTTGCAAATGTGGGGTTTGGCGCAGACATGTTTAAGACATAATTTATCCATATTTATTCCATTGAAAATTGCAATTCACTGTTGTGTTATATATATATAGTGTTGTCAACTCCCATATCATCAATATGAGGGTTCTGGGGGGTGCGGTGACCATGTATAGTAATATACATATTATACCTGATAATTATACATATATATATATATACAGACATGCATGCATGCATGCAACCATGCATCCGTCCATACATAAATACATACATAAATACGTATGTACATACATGCATAAATAAATACATACATACATACATACATACACTACATTACATTACATTACAATACATTACATTACATACATTACATTGCATTGCATTGCATTACGTTACATACATTACATACATTACATACATTACATACAATACATACATTACATACATTACATGCATTACATACATGCATTACATACATTACATGCATTACATGCATTACATGCATTACATGCATTACATTCATTACATACATTGCATACATTACATACATTACATACATTACATACATTACATACATTACATACATTACATACATTACATGCATTACATGCATTACATGCATTACATACATTACATACATTACATACCTTTCATACATTGCATACATTGCATGCATTGCATGCATTACATACATAACATACATTACAGACATTACATATACATGCATTACATGCATTACATGCATTACATACAGTACATTCACTACAGACATTACATACATTACATACATTACATACATTACATACATTACATACATTACATACATTACATACATTACATACATTACATACATTACATACATTACATACATTACATGCATTACATACATTACATACATTACATACATTACATCCATACATACATCGATGCATGCATGCATGCATTCTTGCATTTGCATACGTACATACATACATATATATATATATACCGAACCCATTTGGTGAGTGCTATTCCTAGGGGGTTCAACCGGGTTTTGGGGTCGCGCCGTTTTGGGGCAATCTTGAGGCCGATCGTTTGCGCAAAGCTTCTGAGTGCGCTGATGAGGAAGTCCCTCAGAGAACATGTTTTGGTTGGGATGATTTCCCGTAAATTTGTGGGGCCAAAATGTGCCAAGCCAAATCGCTGAGTTGGGGTTTACATTACTCTAATGTTTGGTTTATGAATGTTTATGATATTGATAACATCTTATAACTATATACCCATGCACAAGTTAGCAAAACCCATCATTTCGACAGAATATGCTCTATAGCTGATTGATTTTCCATATGTGTACTAATTTACTCTAGGCCACGGTAAACTTCAAAGGACTGATCTGTTGAAATCACAACTTACTGTGATGCCGAATGAATTTTCATGTCAGTCCAAGACCAATTCTGGTTTTATGCTATGCGGTCTTTAACTGGTTGGTGGTTTGGACCATTTTTGATTTTCCCATATATTGGGAATAATGATCCCAACTGACCTTCATATTTTTCAGAGGGGTTCAAAACAACAAACCCGTTAATGTGTTTTTTGCATACTGTTCCATTTTTGGGAGGATGATCACAATATGGATGAGCATTTGTTGAGGGGCCAGGGCTCAACAACCAGGGAGCGGTCGGTCTGAACCTGTAGAAAGCAGGGTCTGAAACCACCACTGCGTGAACTATATTATACCCTATGGATCCAGCCGTACCTTCTTAGGAAGTGTGACTGGGGTGTGACTTAATTAGGGGGTTAGCCGTACCTTCGACAGTGGCCATGGATCCTATCCGGGATTCTATATTCAATAGACCTGGTAGTTGATAATAGTGTTGATAATAGTATAATAGTATTAAAGGTAGTATACTATATTATATACTATATTATATACTATGGTAGTACTATAATAGTATATAGTATAATAGTGTTGATAATAGTATAATATTATCAATACCATAGGGATACTATATTCAATAAAAGATGGTCAGGCCTTCCAGGCCGGGCCTTTCGTCCAGGCACGTCTCTCGATGATCTTGAATGTCCTTCACTCATGACCATCCCCAGCGGATACCATGCCGTTAGGCCAAAAAAAAGGCTGTGCAGAGAATGGGGATTCTGAGAGTGTAGTGGGAAGGCAGGCAGATATAATATATATTATATATATTATATATATTATATATATTATATATTATATATATATTATATATATTATATATATTTTATATTATATATATATTATATATATTTATATTTTATATTTTATATATATTATATATATATTATATATTATTTATTAAATATATTATATATATTATATATATATTATATATATTATATATATTATATATATTATATATTATATATATTATATATATATTATATATATATTTATATTTTATATTATATATATATATATTATATATATTTATATTTTATATTATATATATATTATATATATTTATATTTTATATTATATATATATTATATATATATTATATTATTTATATTAAATATATATATATTATATTATATATATTATATATATTATATATATTATATATATTATATATATTATATATATTATATATATTATATATATTATATATATTATATATATTATTGTCTAATATACACATGATATGATATGTGTATAGTAGCAATCTCGTATTTTTTTTGCTTGTAGATTCCTCTGGGAACCTCTAGGCAAGTTTAAAGCAATCCCTCGTTTCAGACGCTTCCCAGCCTTGTTGTTGCCACCTCTTCAGGGCATATACTGGGTGTCAGTACGTGGAGGAGTAACCCTGTTTTAGTAAGGCCCCTTATTACGCTATCTGATCTATCAATGGGTTACGGTTATAATTGTGGTTATGAACCACTTATATACTAAGTGGGATGATCCTCCTTGAGTTTTTTACCCATGGTAACAAGAGGACAGAATCAGTTTCTAAAATGGATAGAAACGGTAATTTTGTCCGAAGCTTCTGAAGCCGAAGCAATCCTCATCAAAATTGCCGTACCCCAACATTCCAGCTGTCTTTCACGTTGCGTGTCGCCACTTCGCGGCCACTTGGCTTTTGCGGTATACGCCATCCGGTTGGCTCAAGGTTTCTCTTTGTATATGATGTCAGATTTGTTGATCTATATCTTTTGGAGAGGTGTTTTGGACCAAAACCGCAGACAAGTATGAAAACCCCAAACTAAATCAGATATGCAATAGATATACCAATAATTAGAAACTTGGATCAAATGGCAAAGATCGGTGGACACAAGTTCTTAATATTGGCTCTCATGCCGCCGTACTCCGTCACCGCTAAAACCTATTTCCCCACCAGGCCTACGTAGACCATTTGTCAGAATATACTGCAGCCAATCCGAAAAAAAACATGGGTCCAAGACCCGAAGAAACACAACGATCTCTGTGCTGATAACGATTGGTGCCTCATCTGAAGCCAAACTCAGCAAGGTCGATTTTGCGCGCTAGCAGCAAGTCATAGCTAAGACAGCGTGACCCTGCCATGACTGCAGTTTGATGTGCTTCGGAGCTGAATTAGGCAGGACTCCAGGGCATCCTGAGATTTACCCGTTTACCCACCAATGTCAGGGGCATCGAATTGATTCATCTAACGCAAAGAGAAAAAGGGTCAACAAAGCAAGAAACTAGCGATCACCAACTGTTCGTATACCCCATGGGATCCATGTATGCTATATATGGTAACATTTACCATCAATATACCCCAAATGTTAGCATATATACCATACATGGATCCTATGGGTATGTATAATTATAATTATATATATTATTTATTCACACGCCACCTGAGTCTCGCGCGGAGTAAGGCTAAGGCCCAGACCATGGTGGCCATGTTTGGCGGCCATGGTTTCACGAAGTTAGAGCCAAGGGCACAGGCGAGAAGTGCTAGCGGCAAGGTTACCAGCCAGTCCGCCGTGCAACTGACCACGAGAGGCCAATCAAAAACCAAAGGCCAAGATAGAAACAATTTTAGAAAAGGCACCCATGCTGAGCAAGCCAGCAGCAAAGAGTGAGCCGGGCCATTTTGAACCAAACTCCCCTTCAGAACTTCAGGCTGCTGGGGCAAAGGGAATGGCCCACAAGCCAGAATAAAAACTTGGCAAAAGCTCAACTCAACACCAGAACATGCTAGAATCCAAGAGGCATGAGCAGCCACTCACTAAGCCCAAATGCCAATGTCCAGCGGACATGGAAGTGTCAAAAACCCGAGCGTTGATTAAGGTGTCATGGCACGCAGACAAGCGATGAAGACATAGCGCCCTTCCATCAGCACCTTCATGGTTACCTGGTTCAAGGTACACTCTTTTCGACATGACAAGCAGCTGCAGCGCCACAACCAGGAAACAACACCTTGTGAAGAACAACAACTCCAACTGACGCAACAGCCCTGACATAAGTCGATGTTGCGAACCAGGTAGCAATACAATGTGAAAAGCGCAAGTCACCGATTAAATGTTGAAAATCAACGTGAAGACACAGGCCGGCATTGAAACGCAATAGCCAAGGCAAAACTTTGGATCCAAAGCCAACCGTTAGACATGCACCCTGGAGTTGAAGAAGTCGTTCGACTCAAGGCCATAAAAGACCATCATGAGCCAACAAGGGCGCACCGGCGAGGGTGCGGCAAGGATGATCAACACGGGCTCTTAGTCGCACAAGCTGAAGCAGCTGAAGTGTTGGAAACTGTTCAGATTTTAAAAAATGTGCAACGCCACATGAACCAATAATCAATAGTTGGTGTCATGCTTGGTGGGTTTCTCTCACTATTCCTTTTGCAAAGTGGACATCTTGAACTCAGCCTGGAATGGCGGATGTGCCGTGGGTTAAGCAGCAAGTCTACGACCATTGGTTGAAAAACACAACCATCAGATACCATTAGTTTTGTTTCAGTATATGTTTTTGATATTTTTTGTGTTGTTTAATTCAATATATAATGTGGTTGTTGACTAGTTCATGTTGAATCGCCGCTTCTATCATGAGAGATCACCCTCGGGTTTTCCCAAAAAACATTTATTTATTTTTTTAATTCCTACGTTTTTATAAGTTTCGGGTTCTTTTTGGTAACAATATATTCAATAGATAGTCAATATTCGCCCTACTGCAGTGATATGCCCTTATTCTTGGGTGGTTTCATCACCGTTTAATTTGTCACTGGGTAGTTTAATCCTTCAGTGTTTCTTGGTGTTTTTTTGAGACAATAACCATAGGTATCAATAGCAAAAGATGACATTTCTTTGAAGTCCAACCATACAGTTTTTATCTATTCCCTATGGATCCATGGCCACTGTCTGAGAAGGTACGACTAACCCCCAAGTCATCATACCCCAGTCGTACTTCCGTTCAGAAGGTACAGCTGGATCCATAGGGTTCACAAATCTCTTCATTTTTGGGTATCTGGCTATAATCCCACTATAATCCCACTATAATCCCACTATAATCCCACTATAGTCCCACTATAATCCCATTTATATTAGCCAATAACCAGCAACTATATGTTTTGTGACCGAAGATGGACCCTTCTCTTTGCCACCCAACCTTCCCATTTTCAGGTGGCTGGAGTCATGGCCACACAGGCGATGCCGAGATGGTGAGATGATGTGATTTGAGTGATTCCAATGATAAATCCACCAGGCAAAACTGGGGAATCTGTGGGGAATATAAATGAATATCGTTGTTTTTTTTATAATAATGATTATTTTCGTGACACCTCGCTCGCGAATCCTTTAAGTAGTTTGGGCCATCGCCTTGCAGAACATGTTGTTCCAAGGTGCGATGGCATCTGTCAGGTCGAACTGTTCCTGACTTTTGGTTGGTTCATGTCTGGTGAAATCCATCAACATATTACATTTTATCCACCAGGTGTGAATTGGGTGGTTCAAAACCACTCTACATATATCGCATATATGTGAACGCCATGATCCCTTTCAAGTCCATGCTTAAAAATCCGGAGCGCAAGGTTCAGCAGCAGCAGGTGGTGAATGCCATGCTGCAACAGCTGCCACAGCAGCAACGGTCGCAGATCGAACAGGCGCCAGTGGGGGCGGTGTGCATAAGCCAATACAAAGTGGTGATTTCATGGGTTTTATGGTGATTTCATGAGATTTCACGGGATTTTATGGTGATTTCATGGGATTTCATGGGATTTTATGGTGATTTCATGGGATTTCATGGGAGTTTATGGTGATTTCATGGATTATAACCTCTGGAAATGATGATTTTTGATGGGGTTTCGTGGACAATTCATGGGAATCAATGGAACATTTATGGGCCCACTTCGTAGACATGTAATTATAGGTGGGGTATAATGTGGTATAAGAGTATAAGGTTTATTAATACGATGATTTGTTCTAACCCGGTCTAGAACCCTTATAGTTTGGAGAACCAATCACTGTGAATGCCATGGGTAGCTAGCAATAACCCATCAACCCAACTAGAGTATAACATGGTATAACTTCACCGGCCCATTGATGTTTGATGAGACACAACTACTATAGTGAGTAATACTTAGTATATGGTATAGGTTAATAGCTTTAATAGTATAATACGTCGTATGGTATACCCGTATGACGGTTCAATACCAGTCATTACGGTATAGGTTCCACCTCTGGACCCCCAAGTCGTGGTTTTTCTGGGTCCTTATCGCTCTGGCCCCCTGAGCCATTCAAAACACCTCTGTTGAATGGTTAATTTGTTGGGGTTTTCTACAGCCCATGGTAGGAATAAATGGCTAACCAACCAGTACAATGAGATGGGATAGGGGTATTTTTCATGGGTCAAGTTCAAGTGTCACAAGAGCACAATTTATAGACTACTTGATTACCATATGAAAATATGATGCGGTTGTGCACATTTCAAACAGAATCAAAGGTATGATATTTCCGTCTAAACCAGGATGACTACATGAATGTCTCTCCGGATTAGCACCCCCCTGGGCTGTTTAACTGGGATCACATGTGAACAATGTTATACAATAGCTGTCATAATTTATCACTATTTGGGGGGTGTCCACATGAATAAAGCAGCGTGTGTCAGCTGGGGGATTGACAGTATAGTCTTCAAAGTTGTAACCAGTATCAAATGGGAACCCCCCCTACTTGAAGGGGTTTATTAACCTTTGACATTACACTTTCAACTGGGTCAGCTGGGTTTATCTCACACTACAAGGTGAGACCCCCTAATTATAAGTTAGTTTATAAACCAATTTTTTCTACAGTTGTATTCCCTCTAAACCCAAATAAATAACCAAGTTGCAAGTCGCTGCAGCTATGATTTTCTTGATTTTTGTTGGGTCTCACAGATGTGTTCTTTTCTTTTAGAACATGTGTATTTTCAACATGTTTTGCACCATCGCGTCTTCGCGTGGCGGCTTCGCGTCAGGCGGTGAACAATTATCGACAGACCATGGTGCAGCAAAACTATAGCACTGAGGCTGTCCAGGCGACGGATGGCGGAGATGTTTTTCGGATTCACCCAGGACTGCAGGTTTAATAGTAAGTTTAATAAAGAGGTACAAAGTGGGGCTCCCTAGATAGCTAAGTTGGTTCATAACTCCAATAACTATGCTTTATGGTACTTATAACTATAGTTACTGGGGCTTATAAACCAACTTATAACTGGAGGGGCCCACATTGTATACGGTATACCACTTTTCATAACTGGTTGGTGGTTTGGAACATGTTTTATATTTTTCGGCATATTGGGAATAATCATACCAACTGACGAATACTTTTCAGAGGGGTTGAAACCACCAACCAGGATAAGTTATGATATATACATTATATAATATATATATTATACACTGCATGTTTTTTTGTTTCCTATTTGGGGGAGGTCCCTATGGTTTGTTTTTTGTTGTTTGTAACATTGGTTTTATATTCAGAAGTGATCAAATTTCGATCATCAAAATGTGCGCAGGCAGATTGTTTTTGATTGTATGATACGTTTTGGACATGGTCGGTTGATTTCCTGCAACAAGTAGCACTTTCATCATCAAAAAGTAGCCTCACGGCCTCACATACGTGTAGAATCAAACAATGAGATCACAGATGTGCAGTGTCTTCCTAGCCGGAACGACCATGAGCCTTTCTTGAAGGTCCTTGTCTCATCAATTGCATGCTCAACCATCTAAAACCAGATTCATAGTGGTTGCCAGTGAAGTTTGCAAATCATTTGACATTTGATAGCTCGAATGCAAAAGGGAAAATATCTTCCATGCCACTGTCCTGACCCCTCCTTGGGACTTTTTCTACCATCTATATAATATATATGCCTGGTTGGTGGTTTGGAACATTTTTTATTTTTCCATACATTGGGAATAATAATCCCAACTGACTAATATTTTTCAGAGGGGTTGAAACCACCAACCAGATGCTCATTTCAGTAGATGAATTTGTACTTGCAGTGTCGTGCGGCTGGGGATTTTCTTGATGCCTTACCGCGGCCTTGCTGCCAGTACAATGTCTGGACGTACTATACTCAGTGCGTCCAGAACATGTACCAGGACGTTGGGGGGTTTGGCAGCCATCGTCATAGTAATATGTAAATCAAATAGACTATATATATAATATCATATATAGATTAATTAATAGTGGTTAGTAATGGTTCATAGTGGTTAGTAATATATATATGATAAGCATATCTGGATATCTGGGTAAATTAGAACGACCTCACTGCGACCTCACTGGAAATCATAGTTAATAAGGGGAATCATCCCCAAATGGCCGAACTATTCAGGTTAGTGAAATATTATAATTTACCAAGATATATATGTTTCCATGCGCCATGTTCATCTATTTTCCTTAGCTATGTTAGTTCACCAGAGGGGCATTTACTAAGTCCAATGCTGGGATGTAGGTACACCCTACCGTCACTGTGCCATTATGCATTCCTTGAATAGTGAATGATGCTGCAAACTGTCCCACAAACTTTAGGACTTGAAACTTCAGAGTCTTCTCCCCATGTCTATAGCTCTTTGGTATTTCTAAGAAAATGTCCGATGTTCTGTCATACTAGTAGTTCGGCAGACCATGCTTAGTTTGATTGGGAACCACAGCTGTCCGCAGTTTACAAGCACTCACTTGTCCCACAGGCTGCATGTGCCGCCAGGAGCAATCGAAGAAAGCCACTCCCAGTCAGAGTGCTGCGAGTCAGGCGGATGTGGATTTGTTGGCAGCACCACAGCCAGTTACAGCCTTGATTTGGGAGGCCAAGGGCCCAAGTTAATGATTGAACAAGAAGTAAAAATGACCCTTGTTTGACACTTATCTTAAAGGCTTTGACGCAGACAAATTTGTTTAGTCCCATGATTGAATCTAAAGTATTTCGGGGGGTTGACCCAAAACAATATTCAACTACAACCAAATCCATCTTTGAGCCTGACCTCAAAAATTGGAGGTGTTGTCCCATAAAATGATGAAACGGTCCACGTTTGAACCTGGCAAAATGGAAGTGTTGACTCACAACATCGTGAGTTTCACCATGCAAAATGTTGTGTCACACCCAAGTGTTTCAACTCACCATCGGGGTTTACTTCGGAGTTGGGAGAAACAAGGCCCCATTTAGACAGTAGGTATTTGTAATTAAGCAGATGGGGGCCCATCCTTGTGACAATTTCAGTAAAGACTGGTCAAGAGCTGGAGCGACCAACAAGAGGTCTTGTTTCTGTCCCTTTCCCCTGATTGTTGGGAAAAAACTGGATACAAGCAAGTATCATGGGAATTATGGGGACTGAATTGGGGATAGGAGGCAATGTACTGAGCAAACAAACAACATGTTTAATTACATATTATTAACAGTCATAGCCGTGCGAGTGAATACTGGTCATCAAATCGATCTTCACATGATAGCTTCTTCAATATCTACATATCAGAGCTACACTTATCTCCTCAAAATATGTCAACCCATAACCAATGTTTCGTGATGTATATCCAACGCTATTGTTTCCTTGTGTTTGCTTGTTTGGAGATTTCTTGTGATTGTTGGTTCCATCATAGCCCCACTCCCGAATCGATCAATTCCAACGACCTGTTTGGGTGGTAAGTTCAGCATGTTTCACCAAGAGCTCATCGTGGGAATAGGCCTTCATTTGTTGACGGTACAAGACACCACCAGCTTGTCGGGGTTTGTTGCTCCTGTCCACATCTTGAAAGCGCAGGCACAAGCTCAGCAAGCCCAGCAAGCCCAGCAAGCCCAGCAAGCCCAGCAAGCCCAGCAAGCCCAGCAAGTGCAGCAAGCGCAGCAAGCGCAGCACGAAGCACAACAAGCGCAGCTGGCACGGCAACAAGCACAAGCCCAGTCTCAGGACGAAGGGATGGGAATCCAAGAGGTCATAATCGCTTCCCACGGCTGCTTCAGCCACTTAGTATAACCCTATAAAATTTGATCATATTTGATCATATTTGATCCATCGCCACACTTAGCCTAGGTGACACGACCATTGGCATTGGCATTCCTTTTTTGAGCCATACGCCATACCCATTTGCTGACTGCAGATCTTCAAAATGGACTAGATCCATCACTTCAGCCGTGGGGGAATCCCCTAAAACAATGCTTTCTGGTAGGTGATTTGATTAGGATTTACATGTGTTTATGTGATTAGTGGAGTCAAATCACCAAGCGTTATGATTGTCCCACTGCATCGGGTGAAGTCACAGTTGGCAGTGATTCTTTCTTACTGCGTTTTGAAGGTATCGATCCTCGTTGTGACTCCTGTTCCCTTGCATTAGAATGCCTGAGTGAGGGTGGAAAACTATGCATGAAGACATGTCCATGGCTCCATGATTTGTTTTTCTCTCCGTCTGTCTATATGAATATATATATATATATATATACATCAATAAAATACTATCATAAACCATTTTAAAAAATATATCATGTAAGATACCCCAATAAGATGCCCCAATAAGATACCCCAATAAGATGCCCCTATTTATGGCTAATAAGTTATAATTATCATAAACAAATCATAAACCATAGAAACATTCGAGTTCACATTGGAGTTCTGTGGCCCCCAACTGATCAGTCCAGGAGTCCAGCGGTTTGCTCAGCGGCTCTTTGGGAGGCGACCAATGATGGGACGTGGATCATTGGATTGGGGGGAAGCTATAATCATTATATTTAATCATTATATATGGCTTAAATATTGGATATCATAGATCATATATAAATCATATATCATATATAATTCATATATCATATATGATATCATCAAGGATAGCTATATATTGGATATCCGCACTTTCTTGAGCTTTGTGAATTCGTCGAATGAATTACCCTACATGGAATCCGACAGAAAAACATGGAGGAACTTAGAGGATCCATGGTGCTGGGAAATCTTAGATCTTTGGTGAATACCGAAAAGGAACAATAATTAAGCATTCACATCCAAGGTTTGGGGGAAATTATTGCATGTGATCCATACCAACCAGCCTTGGTCGTTTTTGTTACCGCTGCATTCTCTCCACATGGCCTTGCTCCAAGCTTGGGGAATCCTGTCACCCCCGGGGAACCCGCTCAGGATCTTCTCCTGGTTTGCTAAGTGGCTCCTTGGGAGGTCCGGAGTTTTTTGTCGGTGGTTGAAATATAAGGACTTCACGCCGTGCGACCTCACCAGTAGGGGTAACCATCACAAAACGGCCTGAACTCAGGTGAATGTTTATGACAGACTGACAAGGTCTGGCAAAATGGGTCAACGAATCCGATGGCGGTTTTTTCGCGTACAGAAGTATAATGATATGGCTGTGGTTTCACCGTGAAAAAATGGAATTTGACCATGAAAGATGCTGGAATTTCACTCCATCAGGCATTAGGATTTTGGCAGGAAATACAAGAGGAATATGTGTTATGTGAAACGTGTTGGTTAGCGAGCGGATTTGGGCCCTTTTTTGGGACAGGCAAATGCCCGAAGGGATGTTGAAAATTACCTATCAGTGGATGGGTTGTTGGCAACAAATTCGTTAATTTTGGGGTTATGATTTCTAGGGACATTTCATCACCCTACTTGTAGATTAGATGATTCACTGGACTTAGTGTCAAGAATCCAAAGAGTGCTTCATATGTTTTGCCGTGCGAAATTGAAATTGACCTATCAGCTTTCAAACGGATTTAGGGATCTTATGAACCATTTATATGCAAATTTATGCACATCATATCACGTATTATTACAGAGTATATCATGATGCTTACTATAATGTATATATAATATATAATATATGATATATGATATATGATATATAATATATGATATATATAATATATAATATATAATATATAATTTATAATATATAATATATAATATATAATATTTAATATATAATATATAATATATAATATTTAATATATAATATATAATATGTGTTATAATATATGTTTTTATATATATTATATTATATAATACATAATATACTATATAAAATATACAATATAATCTATCTAATATATAATACTTAAATATATTTGATATATAGTTTAATATATAATATAATATATAATATATAACATATATTATATATTATATATTATATATTATTTATTATGTATTAAAATTATATTTTAGTATATATTATATTATATATTATATTTACTATATTTTATATATTATATCTTATATATAATATATTATAGATTATATATTATATATTATAGATTATATTTTATTCTTTATATATTATAGATTATATATTATATAATATAATTTATTATATATTATATATTTTATAATATATTATATAATATATAATATATAATAAAATATATTATATAATATATAATCTTTAATATATATCATATATACATATTATATAATATAATATTTTTGATATATAATATAATATATAATATATGATATTTGATATATGATATATGATATATGATAGTATATATTGTATATGTTTATAGATAAAGACAATATAGACCTTTTGTCCAAAAAGATACTTTCTAGATGCTACCGCAGGTAGCTCCCCGGGGCTCCTCAGTGGCAACTTGGGCGGCTCATCCGTGGGCGCCCTGTCCGCGCGGCAGGCGCGGCAGGGCAACACATGGCATTTGCGTTAGCCGAGTGGTAATTTGTTACATACCCTCTGGTAAACTGTTACATACAGCTCACTATAAATGACCATTTTCAATAGCTATGCTAAATTACCAGAGGGTATGTCCAGACATAGCTATTGAAAATGGCCATTTATAGTTGATTTGCCCAGCTATAAACTGGTGATTTTCCATAGTTATGTAAACGTTTACCAGAGGGTAGCTAGGGACATGGCCAATTGACAGTGGATTTTCCCAGTTGAATCGTGCTTTTCCAATAGCCATGATAGAAAATTCCAGATGGTATCAGAGAAACGCAATCTTTCTGGTTGTGAAAACATGTCGAATTTCACATCCTCGTCCTCGGCTGTGTTTTATGTCATTATATATATATATCACGGATGCAGACCAAATGGATTATTAATGACATGATGGCAAGACTCAGTTGTTCGTTGTCAAGTTGTGACCAGCATATATGTGACGTGGAGGTTGTATGGTTACTATAGCCGTTGATGATAACATGTGACGACTTGTTTTTTTATCTAAATAATCAATCCGAGGTAGATAAAACATAGATCAAATATGAGATGTTTCAATGATATTCCCATATTTGATCTATGTTTTATCTACCTCAGATTCCATAGTTAAATAGGGAGTCCCATTCCAAGATCAGATATTCCCATTCTGAGTGAGGATTCTTGGAATGGAAATGGGACTCCCTGGCGCCAGGACGGCCAGTTTGGAGGTGCCTCGGCGGGTTGGCTGGGCTCGAAGTTTTGGTGTTCCATATGAGCCGATTTGAAAAAAGAAGAATTCTTATGAATTCTTAAACTTGTGGTGAAACTATGGGATACCATCCAGTAAATTAACATAGACCCTGGCAGATGGGGGTTGGAAGACTAGTTTCCAATAGAAATTGATTGTTTTCAGGGTCTATGTTAATTTACCAGAGGATAGTTTCTGCGGTCATTTTTGAGGGATTTATTTGAAGAACATATTTGAAGTTAAAAATAACCTGGAATAACCAACCATGAGGATCATCGTCGCGACGTCACTGGAATGATGGTGAAGGAAATTTCGGCTGGCGAAAAAAAATTGTTTCGTTCAGATAAATATGGTTCTTACAGGTGACACAGTGAGTTAATTATGTCGAAATATCTCAGTTATAGAAGTGGATATTAGATGTTGCATGAACATGCATGAACCATTTCTGAGCCATGTCCTGCTTTCCAGAATCGTTAATACAAGCCTCCAAAGTCCTGATTCCAAATAGCAAAGTGAACCAAAATGAACCATCAGGTCATGCAGTTTCAAAACTGATTTCATTTGGTTGTTGGCCCAATTCATGTGCCATGGCTTTTGCTCACCGTATTCTCGTGTCCCTTATCTTTTTTGGGTCCTTCATATTCCCTCCTTAATACTGATAATATCTGATAATACTGGATATAAACTCTGTCGGGCATGTTATGACGCGACCTCACAAAGACATTCAACGAGGACGGTTGCCGTGATCAATATCAAGATGGGGATGAAGTGAGAAAACTATAGTTTTGGCGGTTCTGAGTTTCTTTTGCGCGCTACTGGACTACTGGACGCAACACCATACCAATTGGACTAGTCTTTCTCAAAGGATCATTTCAGATCATCTCAGAATATCTTAGATTATCTTAGATTATCTCAGGATATCTGAGAAGAATCAGAGCTGCTGAAATTTACATGGACACCTTTGACATAGATCTCTGAGGTCAACACACTTCGATGAACTCCACACAGGTCTGGCGGTTTCTGGGAGCGACAAGAAATGCAGATGTCACCACGGCAAAAAGGAGACCCTAGGGTAAATTCACAGAACGACCTGGAACATTCATCATTTGTAGATGGTTGAACTTGAGGAAACACTTGTTTGTTGTCCACATGGTTCTTTTTAGTTTACTCTAGATTCTAGGGCACCTAAGAAAAAGTCCTTGAGCCACTGAAAAGGATGTTTGGACATTCCCTAATATGTGTATACATGTTTGAATGATGGTTTGGCTGTCCAAGAATGTTGCGATTTGAATGGAAAACATTATGTACATCCTATGCCATTTTCAGACAGAAGTTCCACCTTTTTGTCTCTTTGGTAATTACATTAATTAAATTTACTATTTTGCAGCAATATGTTTTCATATGGGCCAGACTTTGGTGAGATAAGCAACAGAAAAGCTTTGCACCTGTGAAACCAAACCAGATTGCTGACGTCTATTTGTTTCCCATGGTGATGGGTACGACCCACAATAGTCATGCTTGATGCGGCATGAGTCTTACTTTGCTAAAAAGCTGACACCCACAATTCAACACAACATATAGCTTTTCCTTTTCAGACCAGGTCGGTATTGAAGTTCCGTTTACCGACCTAGCTATAGTTTCAGGGGCCCACCTTATGTAGTATTCCCCTTCAACGAAACCGCAAATTGGGACCAATAATGTCCTTTTTGGTAAAAATAGAGGGGCCGGGAGCTGGTTAATCCCATCTATCATCAAACAAACCTGCTGTTAAAGGGGGTTCTGCAACCCCCTCTATTAATCACCCAACCAATGGGAATTTGGGACATCTACAATGTGAGGCCCCCCAGTTATAAGTTGGTTTATAAGCCCCAGTAACTATAGTTATAAGTACCATAAACCATAGTTATTGGAGTTATGAACCAACTTAGCTATCGTTTGGGGGCCTCACATTGTATGATTGGGACAACTCGACGATTCGACACAACTTTGCGGCTCAAGCCTTTGCGGTCGCTGCTGTGGGATTGACAAACCTGCCACGAAGCGAAGAGCAGACGGATGGTGCTGACATTTTTGCTCTTCACGACTCGTGGCAAGATAAGATAGTGAGCTGGAAATTTAGGGTGGCAAGTGGTAAGCAGTTGTGTAATTTGATTTGTGTGGAGAATTCGCATAATATTAGCTTTGTACCATTCCAATGTTAGATGAGGGGTGCAACATCCTTGTCGTGACTAAGGGAGGTACCAAATGACTCTGAAAGGATCTGATGTGGGACCAACTTACTTCAAACTCCCACAAGTTTCTAAATCGTCAAACTAAGGTAATGGAGAATTTCCATATCGAATAATTACTGTACGAATCTATATATCTATGTATCTATCTATCTGTCTGTCTGTCTGTCTGTCTATCTACCTACCTACCTATCTATCTATCTATCTGTCTATCTATCTATCTATCTATCTATCTATCTATATCCTTTCATCGCATGTCGACCCCATATGGAAGGGATATTATGTATGTATATATATATGGGTAAATTATAACGACCTCACTGTTCTCCCGAACCCTGGAATCATGGTTTTTTATAGGGAAATCATCCCCAATGGCCGAACTATTTAGGTTAGTGAAATATTATAATTTACCTAGATATACATATATATATGTGTATATATATACCCTCTGGTTATTTAACATAGCCATGGAAAATCACCATTTTTAGTAGCTAAACCAACCATATATATATATATTACTGGTTGGTGGTTTGGAACATTTTTTTTGCATATATTGGGAATAATCATATCCCAACTGACGAAGTCATATTTTTCAGAGGGGTGGGTCAACCACCAACCAGTATATGTAATATATGCGCATGGAGTTTCATGCATTTTCGATGGTCAGCTTGGATTCACCAAAAAAAAAAGGTCTTCCCGTGCACGTCGGATGTGTGAAACAACTCTCCAGGTCCCCTGGGTCTTTTCGGTGGGCGTTACCACGGCGCCAAGCCGTGGGGATTTTTCACGGTTTGCGAACTGGAAAATGACTATGTTAACATATTTTTTAGTAGATAAATCATGATAAATCCATCATGTTTATGATTTATCATTGGGACATGGCTGGAAATAGCTATGTGAAAAACTTCCTAAATGATTATACCCTTACCTTCCAGTTACCTCTGAGATAGGTAACTGGAAGGTGATTTTACCTCATGACAGCTTGGGGTTGGTTACCTGTCTGATAGGTAACTGGAAGGTGAGGGGATGTCGGGTTGCAATATGAACTACTCCGTTGCAACATGAAACATAAACCATTGGTTTTGCAGTTTTTTTTGTTCATGAATTATCTCGCGCTTGTATCTACCATGTTACCATGTTGTAGAGCTACAAGGTGATCTCCCCTCCCTGTTATACGGTGTATGAACCCATCACCATAGAATACTTTTTGGAATCCATAGATATATCTACCATAAACATCCGTAAACCAAACTGAAAACCTAGAACCAAAAGCAACTTTGCTCACAGAAGGGGCCTCACCTTCACTTTTGAAAGCAACTTGGAAAACAAAGATCGAACTGACTCGGTACCTTCTGGTAAACTATTACATAACTATGGAAAATCACCATGTTTAATAAATGGGTAAATCCACTATAAATGGCAATTTTCAATAGTTTTTTGTATGTTTACCAGGCCGGGTACTCTTTGGAGTTCAGGATCGTCAATGGTCTCCCGGCCGACCAGCTTGATAAGCCGCACAAGTGGGTGCCAGCTGAGCAGTGTGCCTTTGTGAACCCGCCCGTAGCGCCTCGGTGGCGCCTCAAGGGGTTACCCTCTGACGAACATAGCCATGGTTTGTCGATGGCCCACAGAAATAGATGGATTGCCTATGAAAAATGGTGATTTTTTCCATGGCTATGTTAAATAACCAGAGGGTAATGTGTTACATACCCTCTGGTAATTATGGTGATTCATAGGGATTTAGCCAACAGACATCGGGATATGTATGGGACATACCATGGAAATAGCCTCTGGTAAACATACAAAAAACTATTGAAAATGGCCATGGAAATAGTGGATTAGCCAGCCATGAAATGGTGATTTGGCCCATAGTTTTTTGTATGTTTACCAGAGGGTAACTATAAGGACAGAGAAAATGATGGTTAGTAAGGGGAGTCATGCCCAAGCCACATTTCAGTTGGTGGTGAATTATCATGAATTATTCAGATGAATGGGACTAGCTACAAACATACTGCAAACATGGCTGAACAATGAGAAAGAATGTTGGAAAGACATGGAGAATAGATGACCCTTTTTCCAGTTTTTTTGATGAATACACGGGTGACCCCATTGAACAACCAATAGGTATCTCTGTGTGAATATGTGAATTGAACAACATGGATCAACATGGGGTATCCCTCTAAAATCCAATGCTCAACCTCATTTTGAATCAACATGGCCAGTGATGTGTTTTTTCGAGATGTGGCCCATTTGCAAACTAGCCCATGTGTCAACCCATGAGCTCGACGAAGTGTCAAGGTGCCGTATTACTGGGATCCCTCTTGCAACAGCAACAGAGTCTCTTTGGGCTGTTGGGCGGACGCTCGGAGTTTGGGGGTGCTGGGGCAAGGGATGGCAAGGGGGAGGGATCCCTGGATGGTTAGCAAGGTGACTAGTGTCAATACTTTCCTCATAGTTGAAACTACACTGGTTGGTGGTTTGGAACATGTTTTTTTCCATATTTTGGGAATAATCATCCCAACTGACGAAGTCATATTTTTCAGAGGGGTGGGTCAACCACCAACCAGTGCAAGTCACCTTAGCTACAGGTCATGTTATTTGTGATTTGGCAACTGACGACACACGTATCAAGCCTGAGGATGGAGTTCACACCGAGTGCCGTTTCTGTGGGGAAGAGCCTTACACGGGAATTCACTGCCCTTCCGATGCCATCGTACCATCCCACAAGAAGTGTGAGTTCGACAATCCACCGATCAATACCTACTACTGGGAGCCCGAATGCACCAATGGTGCCTTTGGCTGCAAGGAGAGCTTTTTTTTGGGCTGATGGCGTCGGTTTTGGGGTTGGAGTGCAAAGATTGCACGGACTCATGCGAGACTCTATGTATTGTTTTGTTTGATTTATGTATATATGATATAATATGTATATGATTATATGTATATTTATATATAAGTTATATATGGTTGATCTTTCCATTTCATGCCCTACATGGGTCTGTTCGGTGCCCAAACATCCCAACTTTGCTGATTGCTCACTCCAAAAGCTCATTGAAGACCTTCTCTATCGACCCATCACGGAGGGAGGCTGTGCATGTACTGCTTTCATTCGTGCATTTATTTTACATGCCATATGGATCCAGCCGTAGCTTCTTAGGAAGTGTTTGGGCTATGATTTCAGGGGTCAGCCATACCTTCTCAGACAGTGGCCATGGATCCATAGGGATGTATACCCAGGTCAACAGACATATATGCTAATAAAGGGCTTGTATTTCCTTGGATGTCTTCAAAATTTAACCTTACATATAGAACTTTTGTGTTTGCACTTCTCAACATGTGTGTTTGCATGTTACACTTAGTTACAGTTGCTCGACATGTGTGCTTACATTTATGCATGCTCGATGTATGTGCTTATATTGGACAGTAACTTATCATAACATATCATAATATAATTTATGCCACAACAAATGCAAACAAATGCAACACTAAAAATTCATCAATAAATGCAAATATACAACAGCAAATGCATATGATCTTTTTTTTGTGAAAATCATGTTTAATTTTCACAAAATAAGATCTTATGCATCTGTTGTTGCATTAAATTGCACATATACTTACTGTCTTACATATATTACATTTATGCTTACATTTCCCAGCATTTACGCTTTATGACAGTACATATGCAGACACATTTGTCTTTATAACACATGTAAACACATGCCAAAACACATGCGACAACAAATGCAACATATGCCATATCAAATGCAAACAACTGCCACAAACAATGCCACATAGAATAGATGCAGAGCTTTGTCTCAGAAAAATGCATCAAATGTACATCTTATGTTGGAGGGTCCAGACCGCTATAGAGTAGTGCTTTTGGATGAAGTTGAGATATCTCCTATTTCGCTCAACATCTCTTAAAGATGATGAAGATGCTTAGAGTTGTTCAGCCGGTTTCCTGGATAAAGCTTGTAGTGGTCGTTGCTCAATCAACCTTTAGAAGTTAGATTAGTTTAGTATACAACTGGATTCTTTGCCAAAGAAACTAAGATTTGTTTAAAGAAAAACACTACACAACATGTGTTTGCAGGCTATCCTTAAGATATAAGATATTGACGATCTTTGACATGATTGGTTTTGGGTGTCTGTAACTGTTGCTTGGCATTATGAAGCTTCAAGCTGATCCAACAGGTCACTGTAGGTATTGCAGGTTGGCAAGAGGTCTCAGTTTCTTCGCCAAGCAGTTATACTCTTGGGTAATTTAACATAGCTAGGGACAATGGACGAACATGGCTCATTTAGTTTGATGATTTACCTACTACAAGTGACAAGTGGTGACTTTGCTGTGTTAGATTACCAGAGGATTTTTTGGTAAGATACATGGGGCTCAAAGGTTCACCGTCAGAAGATCAATCGTGCAATTTGCTCTATGTTCCTCTCCACACTGGGGAAGATACAGATCACGAATTTTACACCCCATGTGTCAGGGTTGCTCCAGCCTATAGAATTATAGCTGAATCATAGCCAGAAATTGGTCATTTTACCACATTTTGCGCTCTTAACTCTCAGTTTTTGCCGAGGCACCTTAGGCTGTTTGGCGGATGGCAAAAATTGGGGTTGTCGCTGGTGTGGCTTTGGAGATTACTCATCTGTGACATGCCCGTCGTCAACGTGCACATTCGACAATGAGCCGGTCACACCCTACTATTGGGAGCCCTGGCATGGGCCAATGGGGTACCGCAACGAACATGAAATGGGGGCTGCATGGGGTTGCAACGATTGAAGATCGGGATACAACAATTAATATAACCCATGAATACCCTATAAATATCCTCAATCTGGCCGGTAAATGATTTTGATACAATTGTAGGCTGCTTCCCAGGTTGATCTGCAATGGGCTGCTAATGGGTATCAAAGTATCAAACCACCAGATACAGCGACTCTGCACATTCAAAACGGTCGCCTCCCACGGTCCCAAGGATTCTCTGTGTGAGATGGGTATGCTCGGATGCACCGTGGCTGAAGAGTTGCATCAAGTTACGGAGAGAACCGTGCCATCAACAATTTTCTCGAACAAAAAAAAACTGCAAATCTTAACTTGGCTTAATTTGTCACCCCTAAATCACTATAGTCACTATGGTTGGGGGGGTCTTCACCACCGTTTTGGAGGGAAACGCTGTCGAACAAATGCCTCCCCTGTTCTCTCTGTTGTATCGAGGTAATGCTGATGGAATCCATGTGCAATGCCGATTTTGTGATCACAAGCCCTTCAACTCCGTGCACTGTCCTCCCTCCGCGCGACCGAACTACCAAGACGGTGAATGCTGGTTTCCGCAGGGGACAGCTCAAAGCTACAAGTGGGACAAGAAATGCATGTGGGGAATCCTCGGTCGCTTGGCAGTGCCGCGCCGTTGCGTCGGTATTGTGTTTCTCAAAATGGGGACCACGGGTTTCGGGAACATGTGGATATTTTGATGAGCCATATTCTGTGATTGGTACAGTGAATGTCAGTTTTTTATTCGACATGATTCGACCATAAAGAATTCCAACAGTTTGGAGTAGAATGATGACCCCACACATTCCTACAAGGTGGGGCCCCCGTTTATGCTAGCCAAGTTGGTTTAGTTCACGTGGTTAACGTTTGGGTTTATGGGGGATATAACGTAATATAACATGATATATAACATGTTATAACATGTTATAACTATAGTTAATGGGCTTCATAAAGCAACTTGTAACTGGGGGCCCAGCTTGTACCTTCTGAATTCCATCGTCTCTTGGGGACCCCTCTTGATCTGATCGAGTCAAGAGCCACTTGCTGCCAGGTGACGATGTCGGGATAAGAGTCTAGCACTCCACACAGATGTTGAAAATGTGATGTGTCAAGCAAGATTTCATTCAGGGGTAAAACGAAATCCTTTTGACTCACCTATCCTTTATTGATATGTCGCACTCTCTGACCCATTATGTGTGTATGGTTTACTATAACAAGATTGCCTTGATTCAACAAATATGGTATTTTCGTGTATTTTCATGGTCACTTATTTGCTCACCAAATGTCCGGAAAAAATGCAAGAAGATGTGTCAAAAGATATCTCGAAAGATATATCGGAAAAAACAGTCCAGAATAAATGCCAGAAAAGGTGTCAGAAGATATGTCAGAAGAATGATAGCAGATATGTCAGAATATATATATGTCAGAAACCATGTCAGAGGATTTGTCAACAATTTCAGAAGACAGGTCAGGACATCTATCTCTCTCTATATATATATATATACATATATCTATCATCAGAATGCATGTCAGGTCAAAGAAATGGTCAGGAGATATGTCAACATTGGAAGTTTGTAACAGGGTGATGGCACAAAGCAAGGAGGAACTCGCCAGGTTGTTGGGCGGATGGCGTGCATCCGCAATGCAGACACTCGGCACGTGGTGCACTAGAAGGTGGTGTCCCAGGTCGTTGGCTAAGTTGGTGTATCATTGCCAAAACTTGAGTTTATGGTAGATCTATCTTCATAATTCATGTATATATATATATTATAATATATTCCATATATATTTACATAGTTACTATGGTTTATAAATCATCTTATCACTGGGGCACCACCTAGTACTGGATCCATGGAATTAAGAACGTATGGGAAGAATTTGTTCAATACCAAGATGGCTAGAAACTACATATTCATATCTTGGCATATCTTAGCTCAGTGGTTAAAATAGACTCATGAACCTCCGAAGACTCGCATTTCATCCGCAAAAAATGTTGCCATGCTGAAAGGAGAAGCATCTTCAACGTGTTCGAAACACAATTCCAACAGTTCCAAGTTCCATGTCAGCTTTCAGGGTGCATCAGACAAAAAACATGTGAATGCAACCACCAAAAGATCCAAAAGCCTGGAGGGTCACACTGACCCTGCAACACAACAAAAAGACCAAGAAACTCTTGTTGGTGGTTTTGAACCATGGAATTTTTCATGTTTTCCATATATTGGGAATGTCATCATCCCAACTGACGAACTCCTTCATTTTTCAGAGGGGCTCAACCACCAACCAGAACTGGTGTTTCTATAGTGTTCAAGCCCAACGGACCAACGGATCCATGGCCACTGTCTGAGAAGGTACGTCTAACCGTCTAACCCCCGAGTCACATCATCATACCCCGGTCGTACTTCCGAAGGCACGGCTGGATCCATAGGGATTCATAGTTCATTAAATCCCATTCATAATCCATTCATAATCCATTCATAATCCATCAACAGTCCCATTAATCCCAACACTCCCATTCCCCTCTGGTAAACATACAAAAAACTATGGAAAATCACCATGTTCAATGGGAAAATCCACTATAAATGGCCATTTTCAATAGCTATTTTGACATAACCAGAGGGTAATCCATTCAAAGATCTTCGCAGTTCTATTCTCTGTCTTCTGACAGCCCAGGATATTGTGGGCCGGGCTCTGGAGGAGCTTACAAAGGCATTTCTTGCGAGCAGGAGGACCCCGGACATCGGTTTCAGTGGGGGTTTCCATAAATGGGGGTACTGGTACCCCAATAGCTGGATGGTTGATAGTGGAAAATCCTACGAAAAAAAGATGATAACTGGGGGTACCACCATTTTAGGCAACCTCGATATGGATGACCCTGTTCCAGAAGATGTGCTTGAGAGCAAAGCCTGAAGAACCGAACATGCAGACGAGGTAGATATCTTCAGCTCAACTTGTTTTTGCTCAGAAAAATTATCAACTTTCAAAATCACCCACCAAACATGACTAGCCCTTTTGTGGACTCGCATGAGCCAAAACCATCAGATCATCAGATCTTCCTAGGGTTGGGCCACCCTTTTATTGGTGGCTCCAAGTTGAAAAGCACCCCCTGGCATGGTAATAAGCTGGTTGATACGTTGCTGGTGTTGAGATGTGCTTCCTCTTGTAGCGGATGGGGTTCTTTTACCCAATGGCTAGTGGAAGATATTTCAGGATGCTCCATTCCATCAGGCAAGTCAAAGTTGGTGAGAGCGAGACCCTCTCTAACTGATAAGGAATGAATTTCTATTCTCTATCTATTTACTTGACCCATGCACATTTAAGTTCACAGCCACAATTGATCCATTGGGGGTTCCAAAAAAATGTCCCTGGTACCCACCCCATTGGTTTCTCCCGTCCAAATCAATCTCTTCGTGCAGCGGTGGTGGCCAAGTTGAGCATTCGCATGGCAAACCCATGACCACTTGAACAGTGGCTGCGAATCCTGGTTGGTTGGTAATTTTTCGGGGATTTTACTCTCCAATATCCAATAGAAATTGGGATAATTGGGGACTGGGGAGGATCATCATCCACTAGGAATCCCGTTCCTAGCCAACAAATAAGATGGAATGGTGTTGCGGGGTTTGAACATTGCTCACTTCGGAATCCCCCAGAGTTTCCACCCCTAAAACTGGTGGGCTCCGGGCAAGCGTAGGAAACTCTGCTCCCATGATTTGTGCACATCCTTGAGAGCCTTTCACCACACACTCTGCGTTGGACCTTTGGTTTGTGTGGGGGTCGGTCTTTGATTGTTGCTTACTGCACGGGGGGGAATGGAGGTAGAAGGATCAAGACAAAACAAACATTGATTGTGCCAATTTATTAGTCATCCAGTCAATCATCAATATTCATTGAACGTGTAACCATTTGGAGCATAGCGATTTAAGGAGCTTTGGGGGTAGCGAGCCCTGCGATCGAGGTACAGCAACCAGTGCTTCCTAGGAGTCACTACCAGGTCGGTCTGCTGAAGTGCACACAGGTCCTGAAGAAAAGGCTAGGAATCACTAAGAATAAATGCCATAGTTTCAAGGATAAACATCCATAAATCAAATCTACTTTGAAGTCGAAAACGGTGGGACCGAGCTCTGACCCATCTTCATATGATGTTATTTGATGTACATAATATATAGTGTGTATATATAAGCAATATATAGTTATAGATATAATGTTATACATACATATATATATATATATATATTATTCGTTTCATACCCTATGGATCCAAACACCTCCTGAGAAGGTACTCAACCCCACAAATCATACCCCAAACGCTTCCTAAGAAGGTATTTGGATCCATAGGGAGATATATATATATATAGAGATGTGATCATGGAGGAAAAATATGCTTTTTGTGATCCCCCCAAACGGTCGTCACCCAAAAGGTCATTTTTTTTTCGTCACCTTGTCGCAGGAAGAGGTCACGAAGAGGACCCATCTTTTGGGGGATCTTCCAAGGTGTTTTCATCCCAAATAGCTGGTAACTGGTATTTTTTTCTATGGTGGTTAATGATAGTTAATGGTGGTTAATGGTGATTAATGGTGATTAATGATAGTTAATGGGAATCTGGTAACTGGTAATTTCTTACATAGCGAACTGGAAAATGGCCATAGAAATAGTGGATTTACCCAGCTATAAAATGGTGGATCTTTCCATAGTTACGTAATAGTTTACCAGAGGGTAGCTTGTCTGGTAATTTCTTACATAGCTATTGAAAATGGCGATAAAAATAGTGGATATCATGGTGATCTGGTTGGTGGTGACTGGAACATGAATGGATTGTGACGACTTCCTGAATAGTTGGGATGATGATCCCAATCTGACTAATATTTTTCAGGGGTTTTGAAACCACCAATTTGCTTGTGTTTTTCACATATGTTGCAGCAAACATGAGCAAAATCGATCTTCAAATACTGCTGGAGTACGCCATTGGTAACGACTGAGATGCCCCAACAAGGTCGGTATCTGAGTTCTTAGACTTATCTCAATCGGATGCAACCTATAGCTACTAATCATTAAAGTCAATATTTGAGGCTTTTTGTTCGATTATGATTGAGGATGCGCATTCTCTTGAAACCACGTCGCTGCCCAGGAATTCAGCAGCGCAGTCGCGAGGATTTTTGTGGTAGCCCTACTTTCACCTGTAGTACAACACTCAGGTCATAGGGTATCAGATCAAGCCCCGGTACAAAAGAAGGCCAGGCCTAGTTTTGCGATACAAAAAGCCATAAGTTGACGGAAACCCCGTTGTTGCCAAGGATCCGCGGTGGAAAGAAGTTTTTTTTCAGGGGGGTCCTAAATGGGGTTCGTACTGGAAAATAAGCTACGTACTCCCACTGGTTGGTGGTTTCAAACATGGCTGGATTATTTTCCATTTCATATATGGGATAATCCTTCCCATTGACTAATATTTTTCAAGATGGTTAAAACCACCAACCAGCCCAAATTCGTGTTTGTACTCGCATATGTTTCCCCAAAAAAAAGACATCCTGGACATGCGCTGGGGTGAACTGAACCGCAGATGGAAACAGAGTGGAAATACCTGACTAACGAGACTAAATCTTTGGTAATTAATTAGCATTTACCCTATTGGAATTTAGAATTGTCATCACTGGGTATATCCCAGTTCCAGACGCACCTAAGTAGTATAATGTGGTACATTGATATATA